GTCAGCTCGCTTATTTCCCTTACTGAGTGTGACAACAGGATCACCCTATCACAGTATAAGCGACGAGCGGAAGCGAGGCAAACTGAGAGGGGGGGAGGAGGACAAAGGCTCACCTGCAATGGTTTGTACACATGAACTGCAATCCGGAGAAAGGGCGTTTCGGGACCCTTCCCTCGAGCGAGCTGCTTGGCGTGGTTCTGGTATACGCTCTGCAGAAGACGAGGAGTCTGCTCGGCCGGAAGGCGTGGACCCAAACGAACCGCAATGCTGGTGTCTTTGTCCGGGGTCTTTAGTTGGAAGGGAGCTGAACTTGACAGAAGAAGAGTTGCCAGTTTTCCTAAAACACGAAAGTCAGCCGGATATCACCTAGCAACAAGAAGCATGCAGCGACAGCTAGAGCAGCAAGCAGTCACAGCCATACCAAGTCTGGGAATGTAACTTACTGTACATTTATTTGGGCCAGTCGAATTTGTGTTTTGCAAATCAGGCCTGCTGCCCGTTTTCTTCATCAAGAGCGCTCCATCAAGAGCGCTCCATGAAGACTTCACTTGACTGAGTGCTTCATCCAGAACTTGCTCAAGGTTCTGGTCGGATGGGTAAAGCGTCATCTTGTCGGGCAACTCCCAAAGTTTGGCCTGGAATGCCTTGGCTGTACTCTTTGACGAACCTATAAAATCAAGAGGAGGTCAGTCTTATGTCGAAGTGTGTATTGAAGACAGAATCTGTCAGTCACTCACGATGAACCACAGCAGCCGGAAGAGCTTGGATACTCATTACCCCCTCCTTCTTCCTCATGGCCTTCTGCTCTTCATCAGCCCCAAGAACGTCCTTCTTCATCTGGGCTGCATACTGCTTGCAGGCCGCCTGAGAAGAGTTTCCTACTGTCTTGCGCTGCTGCGCCATAGAAGAGGTTGGATGCGCAGCTGGCAACTCATCTGTCCCCTTTGTCTCGGGTAACAACTTCTCATCACTCTTCTTCTTGTAGAATTTGTGGTAAAGGTGGGCTAGGTCGTGAGGAGGAGGAAGAGAGCGGTCATCATGGCTAGCAGCTGGGCCGAAGAAGAAGCTGTGAAGGAGGAAGACGATTTGGTGTTGACGAAGGAAAGAATAGACGACATGTCAAGGGCGATCCAGTCTAAAGTTACATAGGTTAGCATACGGCGCAAACTAGAAGAGAAGAAGCAGAGCTGACCAGTTTCGCCACAACTGCATGGCGCGGAGGCACCACCAGGGCAGAAGCTACCAACGATCATCACCCCCCAACATGAACAATGGCTTTATGGATGAGTCGTTTCAGGTAAACATTCCAGTAGATGTACTCGCTCCAGACATATATTGATCCTTGAGAAGGTCATTCTTGGAACTGCTGTGGGCAAGCGAGCAGGGTGAACTGTGTTTGCAATGCGTGCGCGGGGTGGACGGATAGAGTGGAGGCAAGGTGGAGGTGTGTAACAATTCTGTACATATCTTAACAATCTGGTAACAAAAAATATTTTTTTGGAAACACGGCCAGAATTGAGTCGGACTAAATCGGCGCGGTACACAGTTGGCATTCTGCGGGATTAGTAAAAAACAATACACACACTATTCTGCACGTCACTAGCTTCTTCTTTTCTTTGTCACTCTTTAACTGCATCATTGGCCGTAGCAAGTGTTTGGGTTAGTGCTTAGGATCCTTCAGACTCCCACAAGTTTGTGGGTTTCAAGTATGAGTAAAAAATTCCTACTGTTTTTTGTCACTACTACCTAGCTATACAAGGCGCTACAATTGGTGCTCTGTCATGAGCTGACCCACTACACATAAACAGCCTAGTTGGCATGACTATGGCTTACAACCCACAGAACATTATTACATACATATGAAGTCCAGATCCCAAGCAAACATTTCAAGCAAAATGCTGGCATCGTTTGACCGACCAACCAGCCAGCACACCAGGACAGTACCTAGTTTCTTTGGAGCAAAATAAGCTCTGGCACCTATTTGACTTCTTACTTACATGTTTGATAAGATATTGTCATGGCTAAAGGAGTCATTTGTGTAATTAGTTCATCCAATAGATTAGTTGTGTGTTTGTGGACCGTGCTCTCCCTTGTTACACATATCAGAGTCTTTTTCATAGTTTCTTCTTCTTCATATGAGACAATAACGAAAAGGTTTTTGCCCCTTACTACAAAACTCTCTTCAGCACGTCAAGGGCACTCCCCAGGCGTGACAGATATGGCAAGACATCCTGTTACTATCAATACTTTACAGCAGAGGAGGCATGCAGAAAACAGAACTCATAAGACTAAGTGCAAATTGTACCTTCATGTTTCCGTATTACAAGAGGGATATGACTTAAACTCTTGCTAGCCTCCATTGCAGACTTCTATTCCAAGCCAACATACCCTGCAGCCCTTCCCATCTATGAGAGTGTTAAAGAATTGTTCAAAATGATATGAAGGTGCTCAAACTCACAGTAGTCTTCTCAAACATCTCAATAGTGACCTGTGCCAAGAACCCAGGTACACTCTGTCTTTCCACAACCCAGAAGTGTCTGGCCTCCTCCAGACTTCTTGCCATCATACCACTCATCCTCATGGACCCAAAATGCCCTTCTCTTGATGTCATCCTGATTGTGAGGCCAGATTTGCCTTTCGGTGCGTACATGCTGGTCAAGCGGATATCGGAGCCAGATTCCTCAAACTTGATACGCCAGCCGAGGACTGAATACACTGCTTCAAGGAATTCCAATGTTTTGGCAGCAAAGACCTGAGAGAGATGATTAGCTTTGGTAGACATGGAAGGTTGAACAAAAGAAATAAAGAAAACATACCTCTTTCAAGCGCGTCAATCTCTTTTCATGCGCCCTCCCGATGTCCTCCTGGTCTTTTTTCAGTCTTTCATAACTTGACCGGGGTACCATCCCTTCTTTGACATCCCCACTCATCCCTTGCTGACTCAGTATCCCATCAAGTTCCGCCAACCTCTCAAGCAGTTCATCATTCTCCTGGCGTAGAGCCGTCAACTCTTGCTGGCGGATGAATTGTATTTTGGCTTCAGGGTTGTTGCGCAGCTCAAGACATCGCTCAGTCACGGGATTGAACTCGCCTGAGGCCACCCGGCACATCAGGGAGCTGACCTCAGCATCAAGGCGAGTGTTGGCGGTTGTAAGTTCCTCAATGGTCTTATCAAACTCGACTACATCTGTACATTGTCAGACCACTCGTCACAACTACAAGGGATGAGGCTTACCAGACTCCAGCTGAGATATTCTTTCCTGAGCATTGGCAAGCTCGTGGGCCTGAACCAATCCTTGCCCCCGAACAACCTTCTCCTCAACTAGTCTCGAGTCACGCTGCATCGTTTCGACCATATCCCTGTAAGTTTGCAGGAGTCGGTCCATCTCTGCTGCATCCACTCCACTCCCAGCACCTGACGACCTCAATGTGTCCACTTCTTGCCTGATGAGAGTCTCCCTCCGTTCGGCGCTTTGCCTGCCTTCCACAGCCCAACGCAGCTCGCGCTCAGTTTCCTGCAGCCTCGAGGAGATTTCGCCGACAGTCGCTCTTGAGCTCTCTGCCAAGTCCGCCAGCCTTGTGCGCAAGTCTCGGATAGTACACTCTCTTTGGGCAAGCTCACTGGCGGCTTGAGTATGCAGTGTCGAAAGCGCAGAGAGTCGAGTTCTGAGTTGGGTCAACTGCGCTGTATCATCTGCCGAGGGAAAAGTTTGCGTGAGAGAGTCCATATCTCGGCGCGCACGTTCGAGCTGCTCTTGAAGCACCTTGATTTCTTCCCCAAGGGACTGTTCGGTCTCCTTGTGGGCACGCTCAACGGATTCTATAGTTTTACGGTGGGAGCGGAGTTCAACAAGCTCGGACTTGAGTGTCTCATTGGCTCGGTAGATGGTCGAAAGGTTCAGGGATTGTCCTGTAGAGTTCTGTCAGTTATGAACCATCTTGAATATTATCTGCACTCACGTTTGACCTCATTGGACAAAGTCTCGTCGGGCCTGCTTGGAACAGACTCCTTTTCCCCGCCCTCGATCCTCCGTCTCCTCTCCTCTTCGAGCTCGATACTCAGTCCCCTTGCTCTCCTTTCCCACCCCTTGAGAGACTCTCGTTCCTTTTCCACCTCAACGATCCGTGCTTGAAGCAGATTGATTTCGTTTGAGGTAGATGAAGACAAGCTGGTATGTTTCCCATAGAGAAGGGTGTGTTGACTTCGAAGTTCTTCCAGCTCATTGGCCAGCGCTGTGTTGCGCTGCCTGAACAAGGCGACCTCATCCGCATACCTCCTCCTCTCCTCTCCCCACCTCTTCTCCTTCTCCTCACCCCGATTGACTTCATCCACCTTGGCCTCATAGAGCCCGTACCGTTCCTCTTTCAGTCTCTCGATCTCTATTCTCTGTTCCTCCAGCTGCACTTGCAGCTTGCTCTCATTCGATTTGTGTCTCAGATTCTCTCTCTCCAAGGACGACAACTGGAGTTTGAGAGAGGAGGCGGACTGAGTTTTGCGCGAATGGGCAGGGTCGTCGATGTCGGTGGACGAGGAGGGGCGTTTGCCGAGGTGGGTGCTTGTGCTGGGGGCGAGGACGGGGCAGGCAGAGCGGGCTGACGGCGGGGGCATGGCTGGGCGACGAAATATATGATTTTACGTGGAAATCGATGCTCGCTGCGCAAGTGTTGTTTACATCACTCGCGATATTTGATCCCGTCGGGCACCTCACGGCTCAGACAACGTCATCAGCCCCAGTCTGGCTATCAATCATCATGTATGCAAGGTTGGATTCAATAGATACATGATGCGTCTGTTCTACCAAAAATCCCCTGAAACTCTACTCTACATATAACACAAAATTCGTAAGATAAGCAAGATCTATAAGCGCCTTGCAATCGTTCCCCAACTTCAAATTCCCGGAAAGCGAATATGGAATACTCAAGACCACCGCAACCTTCTATTGGCCCAAGGTCTCTTCGAAGAAATCAATGGGTGTCTGACCTTTGAGCGCCGTACTAAAGTTGGAAGCCTGTTTGAGAGCCGTTCGACATGTTTCCATAAGACCGAAAGGTCCACAGACTGATGTAAAAAATCAGCAAGTGTTCGAAGATCAGGCAGAGACAGTCTCACCTCCGTACGCCATAGCCTCAGGACATGTGCCGACATCTTTCTCGATGATAGTCTTCAAGTCGGGTCGGCCCTTGTGGAAATGAACGAAGCTCATTGCTTCGGGGGACAAGAGTTTTCGGATACTGTGATGGGATGGTTCGTCGGCAAGGGTCGAAGAGAGCTCCTTGGGAGCGGCAGGAAGGTGGACGATAGCGTCGTGGTCGCCCTCGGTAGGTGTCGACATCCCACTCTTGGTAGGCGTGGTTTGACCGCTCTTCTCAGTATAGTGGCCGTCGACCAAGGTGTTGTCGGTACAGGCTGTCCCCAAGGCCTCTCTCTCGTGTCCCCTCTTCTCTGGTTGGGAGCTGCCAGAAGCGAAAGAAAAGCCGTCGGTGCTGGTATTGCGGAAGACGGGGATGGATCCTCGGGTAACATAGACGTCGAATACAAGCTGGATATTCCCGGAGTTTGCTTTGAGGAGCTCGGCGGCCTGGTTTAGGATGGGAGAGACCCAAGAAATAGCGGAGGCGTCTCGAACAATCCAAACGAGGCGGACGAGCCGGGTACGGGCGTGCTTCTTGCCGTTGACGAGCTCGAGCATCTGGGCGGTGAAAGGAGCGATACCAGTTCCGCCTGCGAAAAGTCAGCATTGAACATCCGAAGGGGCGGATAGTCTCACCAGAAACCATCAAGACATGGTCGTAGGAAGCGAAACTGTGGGGAGAGCCGTAGGGACCATCGATGTAGCATCGGATAGTTTTGTCAGAGCTAGAGGAGACGGCCTTGAGAAGATCACTGGTGAATCCTGCAAGACGAATGGGTCAGCATGTTTGATGATGCTGTGTCGGCTGTCTCACCTCCGTAAACTCGGGGAAGAACCACGACCTCATGTTCGTCGTTGGGAGCATTCGCGATGGTGAAGGGATGAGTCTCAACGGGACCCATAGAGACGCGTGGGGCAGATACAAACCTATGTTATAGGTCAGTATTGTAATAATTCAAGTTGACTGGGAAGACATACATGTGTTGTCCGGCCTTCCATGTGAAACCATACCGCTTGAAAGTAAGGCGCATGCAATCCCCTTCGAGAACCTCGATAGTACACTCGCCGCGGCCGGCAGTCCACAGTCTGTTGGTCCAGATGGTGCGGACCCATCGAGCAGCTCGGTCGAAGCCCCAGATGATGAAGCACATATAGATCCATTTGCCCATACGGCCCCAGTGTAGGTAGGCGCTGACCATATAGAGGCTATCATATCGTTAGCTGCTAGATCAGAAAACGCACATGAGCAGACTCACAGAGCAAAGATGATATGACAGGTAAAGAAGAATTGGTGCATGCGACGTCGGATGATGGCGAAAGATGACAGCCACAACAGCGTGAAGGAGGAAATGGCGACCCAGCCCCAGATGATGTAGGTGGTAGACCAGCTGTCTCTACCAAGGTTTCTACAGACATCATCAGTACGCCATATGACATAGACTTATCATGGGTTATAATACTCACATCCTGATAGTGGAGATTCCGACGTGTGTCCAAGACCAGAGGAAGATGCAGCGAGTGCCAGCCCTATGCAGATAATTGAGGTTTTGGTATGGAATACCGGTCAACAAAGAGATGGGATTGTTTTTCATGACGAGAAACATGATAAGGGGCATTTGACCGAAAGCCTGTGATACCGATCAGGATATATACGACGCTAAAGATATCAATGGACTTACCATGATGCCAAACACATTGGCAACAGTCTGCTTACTCCTGGCAGTGGGCCCTAACTTTGGTCAGTAACGCACCAATCTATTATAAAACAGTACTCACAAGTGTCGGCTTGATAGAAGGTGAGGGCAAGAGCTACGACCAGATACGCACAAGTCCACAGGGCGTCGGCGACTGTCTCCGGTGCGTACAGCCAGGAAGGAAAACCAGTAGCAACCATCCAGTTCCTGGCCCCTGCCACGGTGGCCGCCCAAGGCTTGAGTCTTTTCCTAGCAGCCTCCTCCTGACTGAGAGGGGCTTTCCGCTGACGGCGCCACCTCTGAAGCAACTGAAAGGCGTAGTAGATAGCGAGGAGGCCAATCACGGCGCACACCGTACACCACATCCAGACTTGGTAGTTTCTGGAGAAGGGCCTGGCTCTTCTCTTAATACTTTTCGAGCTTGTGGCGCTTTTGGCAAAGGAGCCATGGCCGGAGGTGGTAGAATTGGCGGCAAAGTCATCGAAGTAGGCGGAAGCGGCAGTGCTGGCGATAGCACTGGCCACACTGGCTACAGTGGCAGTCGCAGACATCCTGATAGTGGAGTGGTATCGAATGAATGGCGAATGCTATGCTATCTGGCGACAAAGTCAGAGCGTTCCGGTATAAATGTATATATCACTCGCAGTCCAGGGATTCCATTTTTTCTCGCATGCTCCCCGGTCCAGAAAGCAACTATTGGCTGTCGTGTTCGGGGATCGAAATTATCTCATTCTGAGCTGTGGATTGATGGAGAGAACGCCTTCATCGGCCGGTGATGGTCATGGCCCCGTTACAAGCATACTTGCGGGATATTCTACATCTCCCCGAAAACTCAGGGACGATGGAATGCTCGCTGTTACCGATGGGATTACCGAATGCTGGCCCGATGGGATTCGATGGGAGATAGCAGAAGCATGTGGGATGGAGAATGGATAAATTCTCGTTAGAGCTGCGTTAGAGCGAGGACGTCCGTCCCTGGCCCGTATCTGATTGTCTCTTTGTATCCGCAGGCACCAGGCACCGTCGGGCGACGGTAACTCCCCTCCCTTGGACGTTGGAGAGGCCCGGCCGGACGTCACTTGCATCGTCTCTTCGGCCTACTGCATGTGTATGCATCAAGTCGCAGGTCGCAGATCCCGCTGACTGCAGACTGAGCGATTCTGAGAGGCACTGCAGTCCGGTGGAGGAGGGCCATACGTACATACGTTGTAGCGGCGAGTCATTGGTCGGAACTTCTTTGCTGCAGAAAATGCCTCAAGGCGTCGACTGGGCTATGTATTCCAATATTCTTTCATATATGGTACTGTGCGGCATGACTGTGTCGTGAGGTGAGCACACAAAGAGCTTACTTTGCAGTCATCACAATGAGATAATGATGCATGGTCAGATCACACGTTGCACGTCTGAACGCTAGGAGACTGGAGGAGAGGAGGGGACAAATCACTCTAATAATCGACCTGTCCATCAGATAGAGTGAGAGCGACGGCCCCGACGGCCCCAATCTGGAGGCAAGACACTTTCGGTCTATGGCCGACATACGTGAACGGGCTATGATCCATTGACGACGGTGTCACCAGCCAAGGTAGCCGACACACAACAGATTTTACTAGCCATCACCACCAGAGATTTCAACCTCGCCCAGCCTTCCAGAATAGCAAATGCAGATGCCAAGCAGCAAGCCAAGAGCGGAGGCAGGAGGGCAGCTGCGAGGAAGGGTTTTTCGAACGTGTCTTTGTTTCGGTATGCGATCTCGCTACGATGACGACGAGGTACCTGGACTAATATATAAATTGTTTTGGCCTTCAGCTCCTTCAGATCTCTTTTTCGGCCAGTCATCTAGAGGTTCACAGGTTCTAGAAGATCAGCGGCCACTGCGATCTGCGCCTTATCTGATTAAAATATCGCTTGCAATGCCGCTAAAGATTGCAGGGGCCCGGGTTCGGATTTTTTTGTGTTTTGGCATCCGCCATTACCAGCAGCCGCACCGCACCGCGCAGCTATACATCACGCACATAGCAGCATAGCAGACTGAGGCTGTGGTGCACGCACATACAGCCACACCAATGTTGCCATCAATCGGCTATCGCTTATGTCTACGCATAACTTTCAGAAACATGCGAGCTTTCACCGCGAGTGGGATGCAAGTCGGACTCCGAAGATGAGGAGATATCTGTATGTACCGAATGACAATTTTCTGTCTGCAGATGGACACGGTGCGTGTTTAAACAAGATATAGTCTCTAGCGGTATAGCCTAGCGTCTTCACTTCTAGTCTGCTCATGGTCAGTGGTCGGCGGACCGAGTCGTGAGACGATTGGTAACGGTGGCTGCCCATCGCCATGTGCAAAACTTGAGCAGCCATGGGTATCACTCCAGCACTTGTGCTGTAATCCCCGAAGCTCGGTACCGTCCTTCTTATGTTCACAACTGGCCATCGTAGAACAGAACGCATGCCACAGCAGATGACGTTGGCAACCTAGTGTATCTCAAGGAAGTCAAGTGTCACATGAGGAGCCCTGTACCTTTGACACAACAACGTTCAGAACACATGAAGCGCTAGCAGCATCGCACCAGCCAAGGGAGCAAATGAACTTACAGCTGACTTACAGTCCCAGAAGTCAGCCAACAGTCTTGCAAAAGTCAGCAAACCAGCGTCCAGCAGCCCGAAGGCGGCGATGACCGCAAGATGCTTGGTGGAGGCGCGAGTGGAGGCCTCTACTTCTTCTGTTGGTTTTTCCGTCACCGTGATAGTCTTGTCAACATTTTCTGAGCGTTCCAATTCCGTACCGACCATGTCCAACGACGCCCACAATGCCGTCCTTATGCCCTCCGAAGCCCTGCCGGAGAATGCAGTCCACATCAAGGGCCCAGATTTCAACAACGCGATCGATTTGGAGGCTCTCTTGAAAGGGTACGAGACTATTGGGTTCCAGGCTACAGGATTGTCCAGAGCTGTGCAAATCATAGAGGAAATGGTGAGTCCACATAGTCTCATTGAAAGGATGATGATGCTTACAAGTTCTGTTGATATAGAGACAACGTCGCAAAGACCCCGAACAGCCTCTCACACTTTTTCTTGGCTACACCTCCAATCTCATCTCGTCCGGTCTTCGCGAGATCCTGAAGTTTTTGGCCCAGAATAAACTTGTGGACTGCTTTGTGACGACGGCTGGAGGTGTGGAAGAGGATTTCATCAAGTGCCTGGGATCGACAGTATTGGGAGATTTCCACCTGGACGGAGCTAGTCTAAGAAAGCGAGGGTAAGTTGTGACTGTGAAGGACGAAAATAGGGCTAATATGATTTCAGATTGAACAGAATCGGAAACCTTCTGGTGCCCAACTCCAACTACTGTGCTTTCGAAGACTGGGTTGTTCCCATCCTCGACAAGATGGTAGAGGAACAGGAGCAACAGGGCACACAGTGGTCCCCGAGTTCGATCATCCACCGTCTGGGAAAGGAGATTGACAATGAGGAGAGTGTATATTATTGGTGCTACAAGGTGAGTTTGTATTGTATGCGCAGCATGAACGCACTTTCTGACACATCTCAGAACGATATCCCAGTTTTCTGCCCAGCTCTGACGGACGGTTCCCTCGGCGACATGATGTACTTTCACACCTACAAAACATCCCCTGCTCAATTATCTGTCGACATCGTCGCCGATATCAGGAAGTTGAATGACATGAGTGTCAAGGCCAAGCAGGCTGGTGCCATCATTCTCGGTGGAGGTGTCTGCAAGCACCAAATTGCAAACGCGATGCTGTTTGTAAGTGGCCCCTAGCTTCCGATTAGTCGTGAGTGCTAATCCTTCCACAGAGGAATGGAGCCGACTACGCCGTGTATATCAACACTGGACAGGAGGTAAGTGCTCGTTCGCACCATGAGGCGTGTACTCACCATGACCCCAGTATGACGGCTCAGATTCGGGAGCTCGACCCGATGAGGCTGTTTCTTGGGGAAAGATCAAGGCTGGTGCAGAAAGCGTCAAGGTAGGCCGCCGAGGCGTATTGGCCTATGATTGCTGATGACCACATAGGTGTACGCCGACGCTACCCTTGTGTTCCCTTTGGTGGTGGCTGCCACGTTTGGCAAGGCTCACTGGGCAGAGCAGGCGAAGAAGGCGGAGCAGGCGAAGGAGGAAGGGGCTTCTGCTTAAGCATGGGTGCCCCAGTGGATTAGCATTATGTTTGTACAGGAGCATGCCATCAGAGCGGCCTAGAAATTGTATGCATCGATTCTCTCTCAACATGAATCCACGACGCGATGTCGCAGTACATACGCGTTGAGTACGTAATGTCGCTGTGGCTTGTTGTCGACGCGACTCGCTGCTCTTCTCGTGCTTTTGCCATTGTTTTGCCATCTCGCCCAGACCATGAGCCTCCCCCCCGCCCGATCCGCCGCCGTCCAGATAGTCCGCCCCCCCTCCCCCTCCTCGGAGAAGGCCAAGGACAGGGACAAGAAGCCCAGCCCCGAAAAGCGCGGTGAGTCCTGCAGCCGGCCTGCAAGCTGCTCCAGTCCGGCGTGAAAAGTACTGCTGACAGACTGCACAGATGCCCCGCAAAGAATATGTCGGAACGTGATGATCTACGGGTGAGCAATGGCTTGGAGGGTCACTCGGAGACACCGCTGATCTTACAAGGCATTGCAAATACCAGGACTCAGGTGTATGTGTTTGTGTTGTGCTGAAGATGAAGACAGTATATGCACACTTGGCTGACTTGCTATTCTTCTGCAGTGTATCTACTACCACCCGCCCGTACGTCGTCTTATCGGAGAGACGTGTCCATGCTGATGAGCCCATCTACAGCCCGGAGTGGACCCCACAGCGTCTCAGAATGGCAGCCCCGTAGCTAAGAATGCCTCGCCATCTCCGGCCGCTCCAAAGCTGCTGTCCAAAGATAAGGCATCGGGCATCAGCGCCGAACATCTAGCAGCGCCCGTCTTCGTTCCCAAGTTTGAGAGTTCCTCTCCCAGGTGAGTGGCTTCCAGGCACCTAGGGCGCTAAGAGCTCACTCACATCAGGCTGGGAACCCCTGTGTCAGCTGCAGCGGCCACATCGACTCCCCCGGCTTGGCCGCCGCTGCCGTCCCAAGGCGGTCTGTCTGGATTACCGACTTTCCAGCCAGATTCTGCCCCATTCACGCCCCAAGCATCCCTGCCTGTAACCCAGGCCCCCTCAAGTGCTGGGGTCACACCCAATGCCATGACTTACGACGAATCTCTTTCGATAATTGACCCTAACGCTGGTTTGGATCAGAGTGGGCTGTACCTCCATCCGCGCCAGCCGCTGGACCAACACCTGTTCGCTTCAACTATGCCTAGCTTGAGCAGCAACCCCCTGCATCCTGCCCACCCACACGCATTTTTCGTGGACGACGAGATAAGGAGAACGCTACAGACGAGGCAGGAGGCTGTCTATGTTGGGGCGAACGGGGGATCTGCGCCGGGTCTGCCGCAGGAACTTGGTGTCTACCATTCCTTGGTGCCTCTTCCTCTTACGTCGAAGAACCCAGTTTCCTCGGGGCAGAACCCTACCTCCAAAGTCTACGGTCTCTCCGCTCCAGTCTATCGCGCTACGTCCGAAGTCGACGGGAGCACGTATTGTTTGAGGAGATTGGAAGGGTACAAGCTTGTGAGCGAGATGGCTTTTGGGGCGATCGACACCTGGCGGCGAATGAGGCATCCAAACATTGTCGGCCTGAGAGAAGCCTTTACCACAAAAGGTTTCGGGGACAACTCTCTTGTGGTCGTATATGACTACCATCCCAGCGCGACGTCTCTTCATGACGAGTACATCGCCACTGGCATGTCATCGCAAGACCCCACCAAGCGTCGAGGGCCCATCCCCGAGAGAATACTTTGGTCGTACATCACTCAGATCGCTAATGCCCTGAAAGCGATCCACAGCTCGGGGCTTGCAGTGCGACATTTGGACGCGAGCAAGGTGTTGTTGACAGGCAAGAACAGGGTAAGATTGAATGGGTGTGGGCTGTGGGATGTGCTGGCGTTTGACCAGCAGACGCCGATCTCCGTTTTCCAGGTAAGCTGACCGCTTCAAGTGTTCTACATACTCTAATTCTTCAATAGCAAGAAGACTTGATGCAATTCGGCAAACTCATCGTATCCCTTGCTTCGGACCTCTTCCAGCCCTCGATGCCCCAGCAATCTCTTCCCGCTGCCGTCGACCACATCTCCCGCCAATACTCTCCCGACATGCGAGATCTGGTATTGTGGCTGATAACCAAACCCCCAGGGTCGGGGTCTACTGGAAAGACGATCGATGAAGTGATCAAAATGATGGGACCAAGAATCTTGAATGAGTTGGATGCAATGCAGAGGTGAGCACCTTGTATTCTAGTGCACGCATCGACTGACCGACTCTATAGCTATACAGACACTTTAGAAAATGAGCTTGGTTCCGAACTTTCCAATGGCCGCATTGCCCGCCTGCTCACCAAGTTGGGCTTCATCAACGAGCGCGCCGAGTTTGAGCTCGACCCCAGGTGGTCCGATACGGGCGACAGGTATATCTTGAAGCTGTTTAGAGATTATGTGTTCCATTCCATCGGGGTCGATGGAAAGCCGATACTTGATTTGAGTCATGTGCTTGTATGTCTCAACAAGGTAAATGATCTCTTGTCTTGCATCCATTCAACTCGGACTGATGGGCTGGCATAGCTGGATGCGGGACTGGACGAGAGAATCATGTTGGTGTCGAGAGATGATCAGAGTTGCCTAGTTGTGAGCTATCGAGAGATTAAGCACTGTATTGAAGCTGCTTTCAAGTGGGTCCCTTCTCTCTGACTGTTGATTGCGATGACTGATGTCATACTCAGTGAACTGAGAAGTTCAAATGACCCTCACCGGGTCCATCGGTGATGGTCGGACGATGGCAAAGCACCTCGGATTGATTGATTGTCAGAACGAACCTTGGACATGCCCAGAGAGGTTATGGCAAACTTCAGGCAAAGGGGCCATTGTAAACTGTATTTCAATACTGTTATACACATACCGGAACGATTTGAAAATGCACTTGCTATCAGCCCAAGTATTGTGTCGAGGCTAAAGGAGGCGCAATACTAACATTATACAACTATGAACTCGAGTACAAGTACGGGCTCGTACTAACCTGCAACTCTAATCCTCTTCTTCCTGCCTTTTGATCTCCGCCTCCAGCTTTTCCCTCTCCATCATCCTCATCCTCGACAGAGTCATACTCTCAGCTTCTTCCCTTCTCCGCCTCACGTCGTCCTTCGACGACCTCTCCTTGGCATGCGACGCGAGCAAATCGGCCATCGAAGTAGAGGGTGAAAACACCGGAGCTGATGTGAAGGATGGCGGGGTAGCAGCCGACGACGGAGAGGGAAGAGGGAAGGAAAATGAGGCGGCGGTGGCGTCTGAAGGTTTCCGCCGGCTCGGCAATTGCGTCTCTGCCCACGCAACCCAGCTCGGAGCCTCTCCCACAGCCCATTTCACTTTGACTCCCTCTACTCCCAATTTCCCGACTTTTCCATCTTCCACGTCTCTACAACACGAGTAGCATCCGCCCCAATTTCCTTTCGCAAATTCAACCACAGCTTTCCGGCTTTTGGTCTTCTTCTTCTTTGTTCCTTCCACCAGAATGGCGGGAGTGGAAGGGAGCGGATCGGGAAGGATAAGATGGTTGACGGCACCATATGAGGTGGTCAGACTCTTGAGAAGCTGTGGCTGGCTGACGGTGCTGGTGGAGGGAAGGATAAAGATCAGGGTGAGGCATTCAGGTGTTATGTCTGGACCACTTTCCCCGTTGCTCGCAGCCTTCTCAGTTGAAGGAGTCGGCGCCGGGGATGGAGCGACGGTAGCCGCAGCAGCAGCCATTGCCTTTTTCTGGGCTTCCTCCAACATGCGCTTACCAGCGTCCTTGATGGATTCTTCTTCGGCTTCCTGTCGCCGCCTGTGTTGCTGCTCTACTCTTGCTTTCTTGGCCTGTTCCTCTCTCTCCACCAGATCCTGCGTATGTCGATCAGCCACAGCACATAGGGATATCGTGGAAACTGAAAACTTACATCGACCATCTTCTTCCTCTTCTTATCCATTTCAGCATATCTCGCTTTCTTCTTTCTGTCATCCTCCAGTCTCGTGTCCAGATAACTCTTCTTGTTTTGATCTTTCAGTATCCCCACAGCCAATGACACCTGACGGAAAGTGGCAATCGCTTCCGGGGCCGGATTCTGATGTGAGTTGTCAGCTAGAGTCCACGTAGATGAGGGATGGAGAGGACATACCTTGTCTGGATGGTAAAGCAGAGACTTCTTTCGATACGCCTTCTGTACGTCCTTGGCGGTCGCGTCGACGTCCAGCCCCAGGATGGCATAGGGGTCTATGGCGCTCTCCTCTTCCGTCAGCAGGGGGGCCATTTTGTCGTTTCACAGTGTTCCGCACAAACGAAGAAGAAAAGTCGACCTTTTGCCGCCTACTACTACGAACGAGGAGCAGTTGGTCATTACATAATCGACGGTGCCTCGGAACCAAAGAATAATGCGCCTCTGACATACATTCAACTGTGAAATTCTCAGGGAATAGTCAGATGCTGGAGAAATAAGTATCCCATGACTATGCTGTGGAACACTCCGGAATTCATAAGTATCATACGTCGTAAACAACAAAACAAAGATAAGAAACATCCCACTATCTCCTTTCATCCCTCGACTTCCTCGAGTAGCAGTCTCTTTTTCAGCCCTGCTGCGTTTCCGGCCCACTTGTGCGCGGTCTGGGACTGAGCAGCGCGTTTGAATCTGGCGTCTTCCCGGAGACCACACTGTTAGCGGTCATGGCGTGCTCATTCTCCTTGTTAGATTGAGTATCCACAGCCAAGCCTCTGGCAGCAGCTTTGGCCTTCCGCACGGCAGCTGCTGAAGGGTAGCTGGGCTCGGAAGATGCAGCTGCAGATGATGGCAAAGATGAGTGGGCAACGGATGTGTCCGAGGGTTCCTCTGGCTCGAGGTCATCATCTGACTCTGAGGAGTCTTCTTCAGCTTTGGGCAACTCAGCTTTGTCTCTTAACACATATCCTCAAAGAAACTCACTCGAATCGAGCTGCCTCCCCGTCAATCCGAGCATAGTGTCTGCACCACCAGCCTGATACAACATACTGTTTCTTTTCCTCTTGACAGTCTCCTCAGCATCCTCAAACGCAGACAGGCCTGCACCGGCTGTAGCCGAGCCACTTTCCCCTACGGGTGCCCGAGTATCCAGCGCTTCGCCTTCGTCATCGAAAATTGGTCCAAAATTGCTAATCAATTCCGAAAAGATACCCGCAGGTATACCGAGTGTCGGTGAGAAGACAATGCCGATATTGCGCAAAGTCATTTTATTGGTTCCCGCATTTTGAACAACCAGGATAAGATGGGCGGTGAGGGCTCGTAGCAGAGCATAATTGGGAGGCGGCAACTCTGTCACGAGACGCCCGATCTCAGATATGCGAGCAGATGAGTCCACAAGGTCTAAGAGAAAATCAGATCGTGTCCAGCATCAAGTCAAATCACGTACCCATGACAGCCAAAAATCTTGTGTGCAGCTCTCTGGTCAACAAGCTCGTTGGCAAATCTCTCAAAAACGTTTTGAGCAGCCCAGCGATAGCATGCGGATCCCAATACTCATCAACCGCCAACAAATTGACATCCCCCTCCGCATCGTATCTCTCCTTCAAGCCCTTGATCACTGCCGAACTCCCGCTCAGCCTGTAGATGCCCTCTTCGTCTTCCGCCTTTTTAGCTTCGAGATACTCGATGCAGCGGAAAACGATGGCAGGAAGATTTGCGACGCTTGCTATCGCAAGTGAATCAGTCAAAGGCACAGCAAAGACCGGTCGGGCAATCTTTTCCGGTGTCTTGCCAAAGCCCCAGAACATCCGACTTTTAGCCTTCCTATCCCTGTCTTTCTCCCCTGTGGGGCTAGGCGCGGGTGCACCGAGACTTTGTTGGCTGGAAGTGGTCAAGAACCCAGGCGCCTTCCCGGGCATCACGCTTTGCCTCTTACTGGCTTTTGAAGTAGGTTCGATAACGATGGGGCCAGAGGTGATAGTTTCTGAAGGAGGGGCGCTTGCGCTGAATGCTTTCTCTGTGGATTTCTGCTGCTGAGGCGGCTCCTGGGACGAATTGGAGCGGGACGGTTGGGAGACCGACGCCTGGTCTCTGGCACCATGCACGTGGGGCACTGGGAAGGTCTGTGTGGGTGCAGAAGAGACGGGCGATTGCGTAAGAGCTCTTTGGGTCTCCATACTATTGAACATACTCGGCGAGGGTGCACCGGCGAATTTGGCGTTGTTTGCGAAGCCAGACAATGGTTGTGCGTTGGTAATGACAACTCCGTCCTTGCTATGCTTTCGCAATTGACTCGCTTTCCGTCGCAACTGTTGTCCTTGCTGCTGCGGCTGAGCTGGCGCTTGAGGAGGAGTCACAGAAGCAGGAGCGTGCTGGGAAGGAGGTTGATGGGGTTGTTGGGGTTGAAAGACGGGATCAGGAGCCGAAGCCGGAGCCGGAGCAGGGGCAGGTTCTGGATCGACATGTTTCACCAATATCTCAATCCACCTATCCCTCTCCACGTCGCTTTCGGCACATAACACGTGTCGGTGAGACGTCCCCTTTTTCCCAGCTTCGATGACGAGGAAGGCATGACGAAAGTCTCGCTCATCAGACGAGTCTATAGGACGATTTTGTCTGCCTATCTGGGCGTTGGTAATTGTTATTGACCCAAGGTGATTTCCGCCACGCTGCAGAGGTGTCAGCGATATTGTCAATGTATATGATCTAGACGTACGGATTCGAAATACTCCATCACAGGTCCATCAAGCACAAAGTACCTCGTCTTCCAGCCTCCCAACGTCTTTCCTTTTTTGGTAAGATACCCTTCTTTCCTGGAATCGTGTCTCTTGGCTTGCACAGGATCGGTACTCAAAAAGTGACACAGATCCGTTTTGTCGCTGATGGGCGCCACCAACAAGCTCTGCAGATACGCTTCCAATGCCGCTTTTCGCTGGTCAATTTTGCTGGGCGCAAAGTCCTTCCAAGACCGCCCTTCCGGTAGAGGCATGACCATCTGCTTCCACTCTTTCCTGTTCTTGTTTGACGACACTTTGATCCTGGTGTCGAGATCCAAGAACGCGCTGAACAACTTGGCGACATTCCAAGTCACTGGCTGAGCATTCGGCGCCCGGATAACAATCTCGACGATAAAGCAGAGAACGTCTCGACCAGATGTATTAGGGAAGACGGTACTGCTGGGGATCGTGATACGAGCGTGCGGGAGTAAAGCGGGGGAGAGACGCGGAGCGCTACTCGGCCCCTCTTGTTGTACAGACTTCTGCTGTTGATGAACTTGGGGAGTGTGGTCAATCGACTGACGAGGTGTCTTATGGTTGGGGGACTCTGCAGAAACCGTAGAGTCCAGCGACGGTCGAGACAGCTCGTCGATCGACGCGCTTGATTGCATCGACTCGGAAATGCTCGAAGCAATCATTTCTGACAGGATGGACTCTGCAGGAGATTTCAAGGAGCTTGCTGACGTCTCGCGCGAAGGTGTCGGAAGCGTTGCAACAGATTCGGCAGAGTTGCCTCTCGTGACGACGGGAGGAACGATAGGCTTTGGAGATGGCTGTGAGGGCTCAGCCGCCATAGTGGCGGCAAAAGCCTTGGACGACGGAGGAGGTACAATCCCATAGTCCTCGTGCCCTTCCGACTCTGCGCTGGCTACCGCCTGGGGAGCTACCACCTGAGGGGAAGGATCGGCACAGGAAGAAGTCGGCGGCGTCGATGTATTGTGCTTTCCCTCTTTCGGTGAGTCGACCAGGGCCATGTACGACGAAACCTCGGGCGGGAACACCATCCGGCTTTCTCTCTTTGCCCTGCGGTTGGGGATGGGTGAGGGTAGCAGGCCCGAAGACTGTTGGGATTCGGGTGGTGCCGACAGTTCCTTTCCTCCTTCCTTGTTCCTCTGCCCCTCGCTCTCCTTGTCCTCGACAGTCTTTTCCAGTCTCACTACGTCCTCCCTGTCGGAATGGTTTCGCCGGATTTTGGGGAATTCGTTTGCGAGTCCTCCCAAGCCAGTGGCGCTGGAGGACGTATTTATCTTTCGGACGTAGCCCTCTGGGTCCAAGCCGGCAGAGACTAGCTTGTGGTTGGCGCGCTCTCGATCATGTCGGAGGCGGTCGTTGTCTGATGCTAGTGATGCGCATTGCGAGCGTTGCTTCTCGATGAGTTTCCAAAGCTGCGAGTTTTGGGCTTGCTGCACGTTACAATTGTCAGTGATAATTGACAGCTTGATACAAAACATACCAGATTATTCCGGTCGGAAACAACGAATTCCAGCGCTTTTTTGCAGTCTCCCCCGTTCACTCTCAAAAGTCCTTCAATGTCGATCATGCCAGTCGTTCCCCCTCTCGGACTTGTTCTGGGACTTGCGCTCTGTTGGGGAGAGCCTGTGGGCGACGGTCGAGAGCGAGATGTCGGGGAGAGGTTGGAGAATATGAGGGGCGGATTGAGATGAGGGGGAACGGAGGATGCGGGAGAGGACATGGTCTGGGTCTTGTGGGTAAGGGTCGCCAACCCATACGACGACAACAACACAACAAAGGGTCCGAGCGGGTGACCTGGAGGGTAGTCAAGAGATGGGCGGGGTCGTGAGGGGGAGGGAGAGGAGTACACAGATGGTCCGGATGTGGCTGTTGATGGAAAAGAATGGAGAGAAGATAGATGAACGAGGACGAAAGATGGACGATGCTGCGGAGCCAAACTAACGCGGCGCGTCGGGCGTCGGGCGTCGCGAAGGCTATGTATTATGTATGTGGGAGAATCAACATCATTGACAGGCTGCAGGGTATCGACTCATGCATTCAGCTGCGGACCCTGGCCAGCGTCGTCTGGTTCCAGAAAGAGATGAGCCCGCTGTGTTGTTTGTGCCAGCTCCCGAGGAGCTACATATTCCTCATCGGCACCGCATCTTTATTGTCTGCAAGCCCTCAAAGATATGTACCAGCGACCTCCCGGCTCTTTGACAGAGAGTTCGGTGTGATGGTCGACTGTCGATGGACAAGCGGACAGCTGGCAGTGATGATACAAAGCTTGTCGGTCCTCCAAAAACTGTGGGCGAAATATATGTTACAAGACTCCTCCTTCGTCAAACTTATGGCCCCGACCTTCACTAGAGAACTGCCCATGGCTGCTGCTTGAGTGTTGAGTCGCGCATGCAGTACTGTACACGTAAAAGACGAAAGGAGCAACAGAAAGTTGACTTAAAGAAACCGAGGAGCGTGACTTGATGCAAAGATGATACCCTATGCCAACAAACTCAGGGTACTTTGTCGGCGTAATGCAGAGGTTAGCATATCACATTCCGGTTTTTCTTGCGCAAGGTGAAAACTCGGGTTCGAATCCCGACGTCGATTAAAGCGGTCAAACAACTTTTTGAATTTTTTAAGTATAACACGCGTACATGGATTCGAAAGAGGTTTCGGTGGATAACCACTTTTTGAGGTTTGGGATTGAGATGGAAGACGAGCAGACGAAATCGGCGAGATGAAGAATTACTGATGAGAAAACGAGAGGGATAGAGCGATTTTTGGCGAGAGTCGAAGAAACATAATGGGCGAGTCGTTGAGCTATGCCGGGACGCTGAGGAGTCGGCTGTTTACTGAATTTTGTTCGGCAGGTAAGCAGCTCTCTAAATACCATACCGGTCTACGCAATTGTTAGAAAGAATTTTCATGAAAGCAGCAGCAGGGGAGCGATCTGTTGAAGGATGACGTGGAGTTTTCACGGACGTCGCGATATCAAGCAACTATATTCGGTCTTCCCTCGCTGGGTCTTCCGTCTTGCCGTCCGTCCGTCTGCTGCCTGTTGGCTACCTGCTGTTTTCCAGCTGTCTTTTGTCCTGCTTCCGTCAGTCTCCGTCTACTTATAAGTTTACATGTACAAAGCGCAACTATCTATCATATTCATCGATTAGTCCTTTTAATAAACCTGTCCGGCCCTTCAATCACCAGTTGTGGAACAGGCGTCCGTCATCATCGACGCCAACCACGTGCTCCAATCGAACAATTCAAGATACTGCAGATCCCAGCTGAAGCTCTTCCAAACGTCCTCCACCGCTACAGCACCCGTCTTTCCCTCGAGGATCGATACACCCTGTCCCGTATACGGATTCAGCAACCCTTCTCCCGACCCCAGCTCCTGTCCACCATTGGCCACTTTCGACCTCCAAGTTCTCAAGGTCTTCAAAGCCCTCTCATTCAACGTCTCCCCTTGGTTCTCCTGTATCGAAAACGCCAGAGCTCCGATCGCCATATCCACCAACTCCAATCTTTGATCCGGGTCGAGATTGAAGCCGGGATCTCGTGGCGATGAAAGGAGACTGCACGCCAGCATTATGCCGGCGTTGAAAACCTTGGAGCCAAAAGTCCAGAGGTTGAGAGGAGGACAATCAGGCCAGCGGAAGAGCCGGTGGTCCACGTAGGCACGGGCAGTAGTGACAAGACTCCGCGAGCGCTCAACAGCGAGGGACAGGGCAAAGGCCCGATCATCCGGCAATCGCGTAGCCATTGCTTGCTGGCAGAGCTGGATGACAGTGTTGCAGCTGCCCATCGACACGACACATGCTTGGGCGTAGACCCAGGGAGGTTCTAGCCTGACAGCACCTCGATTGGCGCGGAGATGTGGCTCGAGGTTCTGCTCGTATGTGTCGATGATGCTAATGCACTGCCGTAGATCTTCACGAGGGAGTACTGTGCCGTGGGATTGTTTGATTTCGCCCAAGCGGGCGAGAACGGACGTAAAGGCAATTTTGGAGTTGATGTATGACCATTCAGGTATACCTGACTCGAGACTAGGATTGGGGGGTTCGAGTGAGATGTCGGGAATGGCGGCGGGCATTCTAGTACTGGTAGCAATTAGGGAGATCATCGACTTTGGAATGTCGAGGTATTTGGTGACAAAACTGTCGCCGGTCAGCCCATACCGCTCAGTTGACCGACGGACTCACGTATCGCTGATGACCACTTGCCACCAAAGTCGTCTTCTCATCTCAGCTTCAAAGGTCTCCATTGCCTGACCCAACTCTGACGGGTCCCTGTCCAGCTTCAAGAATAACGCCGCGTTGGCTACCTTGCCACTCAGTATCCACGATTGGGCGACAGTCATATCGTTGTCATACATCGACCGCCACCCCTCCAGAGAAAGCGCGTGGACATAGTCGAGGGTGATGTGTTTGGTGTCGGATTTGTTCTCGGTGAAAGAGACGAGTCGACGGTAGAGATCGTCCAAGTGCGAGGGAAATATTGTAGGCGACGCAAGATCCACCGCAGACCTCGAAGGGGGACAGCGCACCCCTATTGATAGGGCACCGGCTATACAGCAAACGAAAGGCGACTCGGTCTGGCAACTGACGCAGAATGCAGGTCGCGCGCCGTCTAAAAGAAGGCATATGCGTAGACCGAAACATAATATCGAAGAGCTCGAATCTGTCCAGCAGATCCTCGCAGATGTCTCTAGGAGGGAGCATGTCGAGAAGATGTCTCCACTGAGTCTCGGAAGGCGCGGGAGGGGCGAGAGCAGGGCGAGGGGAATGTTGGGAGTGCAGCTGGGAGACGAGGTCCGCCACAGTGTTTTCGAGCTGCTCCATCCGGTCCCCCAAAGGAGAGTGGAGCTCCGCCCTATGCTCGGAGCTGTGAGCACTCAGAGATCCTCTTCTAGCTCTGCTCTTTCGTTTGGCAGGTCGGATGTCACTACGTACAGAGAGTTAGCTCCACCCCAAACCGTAGACGGCGACTCACTCTTCACTCGGCCAGGGCTTATACACACAGCCATCCTTCAGGTTCGCTCTTTTGCAACTAGCACAAGGCTTCTCGAGGTCGCACTTGAGCTTGAGACTCTTGCATCTCATGCAGACAAGCACCTGGCGGGTGCGTTTCCTGCCTGTTTCTGGTTGTCGAGGGGCAGAGGGTGGCGGTACGTCATCGCCATGCTGTTCCGTCATGGTATGCTGGAGGTCGGCGATGTATCTGAGGACTGACAGTGAACAGAAGTGCATTTGTTTTCGGGTCGGACGTCGGCGGCGATAGGAGGGTAGCGATAACCGGCGTTTATCGGCGGTGAATTGAGTTCGTAGTGTGGCTCGCCTGATGAGGAATGCGATGCAAACAATACCTGGGACATGGCGGCAGATGTATATCCCTATCCCAAGGCTCTGCATGGAAACAACGAACCTGCAAAGAACCAAACACAGCGCAAGATAACTGCCGTGTCCGGGCAGGAATCAAAGGCGGACTTGGGAATTTCAGCAGCTCCGGACAATATCTCGCGCGCAATTCAAGCGCAATTCCATCTCCCCTTTCATCTTCAGCTGTCTATCCCCCGCCCTTCAGATGCGCCCCCAGCTCTTCTCCCTCATATCCCCCTCCAGAGCCACCTCTACGACCGCTCGCGCCGCCCCTCGCTCAGCTCAAATCGTCAGAAGAACTTATATCGCCTCCGCCTCGCGAAACATGTCTGCCCCCTCATCGCCTGGTCGACGATCAGCTGTCCGTATTCCTGGACCTGTAGAGACTTCTATTCAGCAAAAGGTGTGTTAATAACCATGTTCGCTCAAGAAGAAACAGACTGATGGAAATCTCAGATCATTCATCAGTTCAATCCCGTGTTGTTGAGAGTATACAACGACTCTAGCAAGCATTCGCATCACGCTCCTATGCGGGCCCAAGGGGGAGGTAATGGCGAGACACGTAAGTCCTGTGGAAGTACTGCTGTAGGACACAGTGCTCACCTAGATACCAGATTTTGCCGTCCACCTCGTCTCGGCGTCATTCAGAGGCAAGACCACAATCGCCCGACACAGAATGGTCAACACGCTTTTGAAGGAAGAGTTTGACGAGCGAGGGCTGCATGCTTTGAGCTTGAGGCTCAAGACGCCCGAAGAGTGGGAGAAGGAAGGCGGTGATGAGATGAGGCAATGAATCTTGTCTGATTTCTGAGCTTATCATGAGAGGAGCCGCGTACTTGTTCTATAATGCATGACATGTTGTAACGCATGGAACCGTGGCACGTGAATGGCATAAGCGAATATAGAAGAGTACAAGATTAGATGAGGTCTATGATAGAACAAAAAAATAGAAAAAAAAGATAGAAAGATATACTTATGATATACAGGTATACACTCGAGACCCCTTCTCTTCTTGACAACCAGTGTCCACATTCTTCTCTCCCCTGCTGACCAATCTGATATGTGGCAGCTAGTGGTCATCACATGATAACGCACTTGCACCCGCCGACTTCATCATCGGCCGCCCTCACACTCTGACGGCTGAGACCCCGGTGTGCTGAGGGTTTTTTCGGGTCTGGTCGCATGTCAGCCACCGTTTGACTCTGGTAGAGACAAGACGCACCGTCATCACCTTTGATAGAGAATGATCTGACAGAGATATGGACGACTGTAGGTGGAGATGAAGAAGGACCGGCCGGAAGTTTGTTCGCTATTGTAAAGACAAGTCAGAGATTCCGTCTTTGATTGGCATTGAGCAACAGTCGGCCACTCACATGACAAGCTGGTGTCGTCCTGTAGTATTTTTCCGCTATGCAGAATTCTCAGGTAACTCGGGAATGGTGGCTGAGCGGGATCTGTCCACTCTACAAGACGCCCCAAGAGTCAGGACAAGACACTACTATCATGTCGATCTCAAACGCACCTTTCGGCCACGAGCTCCATACGAGCTCCTTCACTCTCCCAACTGTACAATCCGGCTCGAAAGAGTAGACGTGATTTTGCCCAGAGATGACAAGAACTTTCAGGTGCACCTGTGCGCCAGCGATGGGTCAGCGCTAGCCGCAAGCGGGCGAGCATAAGGACGCACCTTGTCAGGCTGGGGACTGTCGTCCACGGGGGGCACCTTGGCCAGCGAGGTCGAGGATGCAGATTGCAGTGGCTGCTGGGTGCTCATCGTGATATGCGATGTAGATTTGTCTGCTGAAGACAGGATAAGGCGGTGTCCTGTACGGTGGCGGCACTGTGGTTCTGCATCCCACGGGTATTTATCAGTGCATACTTCCCCACTCTACAGCCGGACCGAACTTACCACGCTGCTTATGGGAACTGGGAATAGAGGGTAGTATACAACTGTAACCTATTTATTGCCCTCGTCGCCTTTTTGAGCGGAGATCAACAGAAATGACGTAAAATGTCGTTGGGCGCAAAGGAGCGGGTGTTGCTGTGGCGATGGGGGGTGCGCTGCACGGAGGGGGGTGGCCTGGGGGGTACGGGAGGATGTAGAAGTACAGTTGGGAAATGGAAATGCCGCCAAGAGGCAAAGAGCGGCGCTGGCTTGGGCTCTGCTTGGGCTGACGGCGACCGGCGATTGGTGTGGAGCAATTAGCGGTGAATGGGATTTCAGAGTTTGCGGGAGTTGCGCAATTCTCCTGCTGCAGCTTTTTATGGCACCGCCTATGTCCTCACACTCTGCAGAGCGGCAGCCACGTATGCATGCCTTGCACTGTACCTCGCGAGGAAGCGGACCGTACGCCTTCTCGCGCGCTGAATACTCGTACAGTCCGTATCGACCCGAGCGAGACCCGAGCAGCTGCGGGCCAACTGACATCGTAACCTCGTCGCGCCGTCTTTCTGTCGTTCTGATTCCAACGCACGCCCACCACGAGTGTGACCACCGTTTGAGACCTATCTCGTGACACCCAAGAGCAGGTTTCTAGAAAGTGTACATGCACAAGGAAGAGGTGAAGCTGCTAGGAGAAGACGCCCGCGGCGGCCCGCCGTCAGGCCTGACCCTTACGCCGCCCGGCGAGGCTATCACATGCATACACTTTGCTGGTGAAGCTGGTGAATCCACACCTTCTTGGGGATCTTGAGACATGGCGAGGCCACTAGCCGATCACAAGGGAGATAAGATAATTACTGTAGATAAATGATCGTCTTGTACCTGAGGAGAAGACCCCGGCCGAGACGCTTCCATATGTATCTACTAGAGTAGAGTACGGTACTACCACATCTCTTGTCATGCAGTCGTGGTACCAATGTACTTCGAACAAGGTTGAGCATGTGCCCAACAGATACAGCCTACCCAAACAATCAGCATCGGTTCTGCTCTTATTCTGCATCATCTCGGTTGTCTCATAACTGCAAGCAGCCAGTTGGCCGATTTACAACCAGTCAACGACGGGATCAAATTTTGCGGAGGCCCGAGATAAGCAACAAGAAGGACTGAAGGACAGGTCATTCCCTCAGAGTATCTCTGTATCCACCACTCATAAAAAGCCTGCATAATGTCCCAAAACGCCGGCCTCTACGATATCTGTGGGTCCACAACACCACCCAATTGAAGAGGCGCTGCTGACAGTCGCTCGTACAGCTAAACCCCGGTTCGACTTGGAAACTTATGGTAGTGTCACTTCTCTCAATATGCCCATGCTGATGTAGAGTCAAGGCGGCCGTCTCGCATACTTTTACTCTACCACCTCCCCGTTGACACTCCTCGCATCCTCCTCCCAGCTCGCTCAGGCCCAAAAGGACGCGACCCATTTCGAGTCGTCCATCAAGGAAAATGGCAACAAGGTTACTTGGGTCACCAAGGAGCAACGAGATGCCTACTGGAATGCCAAGCAACGTGAGGATACGCAGGCTCAAGGCGAAACATACAGCTAACGGTACACAGTGGTCAATTCGTCTATTCACCCTGACACCGGCAAGCCTGTGCCCCTGCCCTTCAGGATGTCCGCCTTCGTCCCTACCAACTTGATGTACGTCTCCCTCGTCAACCCCTTATTGTTGTGGCTGACGTCAATCTAGAATATGTGTACGCTCGATCAGATACCCACTCACAGACAATGCTAACGTCAATCGCGACCATACAGGCCGGTATGCTCACGCCCAACGCTTCCCTCAAATCCATCATCTTCTGGCAATGGGCCAACCAGACACTCAACGTTGCCGTCAACTTTTCCAATGCCAACAAGTCCATCGAGATGACTCCCCAAGAGATTGGAACCGGTATGTCCATCGCTTCATCACATTGTGCCCTTGCCTGATCGAATGGATCTTCTAGCGTATACCGCCGCAACCGCCACTTCCGTCCTACTTGCCGTTTCCCTGACTCGCCTGGTCCCTCGTCTCCGGGTTTCCCCTACCGCCAAGGACTTGCTCGCCAAGCTGGTCCCATTCGCCAGTGTGGCCAGTGCCGGTGTTGTCAAGTACGTCTCCTTATCCAGGCTCCCGGTGAGCCACGCTGACACGACTGTAGCATCTCATGTATCCGATGGAAAGAGATGCGAGATGGTGTGGAAGTGTACAAGATCACCAAAGACCCCAGTGACGGTCATGAGGAGAAGCAGACGCTCGGCAAGAGCTCCAAAGCTGGGCAGATGGCCGTCATGCAGAGTGCTGCTAGCAGGGTGTTTACCAACATGTGCGTGCCTTCTCTGACAATATTGACCATACTGATGGCTCAATAGTCCCACTTTGATCATCCCTCCTATGGTGATGACCTTCCTCCAAGCCCGGGGTGCCTTCTCCGGCCCGCGTGGTAAATTTGGCTCCACGCTCGCTCAGCTCACTCTCATCGGTCTCTCCCTCGGCCTATTCCTTCCTCCCGCCATCGCCTACTTCCCTCAAAGGGCAGAGACGGATACTTCCAAGCTTGAGAATAGGTTCTCTGAGGAGGGTATCAAGGGCAAGGTGTACTTCAACAAGGGTCTTTGAGCCCGAGGCGATGAACGAGAGCGTTGTATACAAGTTGCGGATAGGCAAGAGGTATGCATGTACATGGGCCATCAAAGCTGACTGGAATCTTCTTGCACGCGCGGACAGATTATAGTCCTCTCCACTAACAGACTATACTACAGCGACGCCGCACTTAACAGTATCTAATCATGGGCCCTTTTCCTCTACCTCAACAGTATCTGTCACAACGACGATGTTTAAGTCGCGGGGCGTTGGGGGATCAGTAAAGTCCGCCGGCGAGCGGAAGTGGTTCAGCTATCGCTATATCAGCACTGGATCAATCGGAAATTTAAGATGTGGGACTACTCACAAGTGTCGGTTGCTCAATGTTCTCCCCATCTCTCAACAACCTCTCTCCCCTGTTCATTGCGAATGGCTTATCAAAGTCCGACGCTGATATCGACGCCTTTGAAGTCTCGCCAACCCTATCGTTGTACCCCATCTCGGGATCTTGTTGCTCGATATTGAGCGCTTCGCCCAGTGCCTGCCAGGGCTGGGATCCACGGTGCGGAGCAGCGCGAGGGGAAGGCAGCTGAGTAAGGTGGATGGCGTCGGACTCAATGTCGTCTGTAGGAGGCGGGGTGTACGGCGAGAATTTACGGTCGATGGTCGAAGTACTAGGCAACTCGAGCTCTCTCTCTTGCCCCCTGCCTCGCGTTCTCAAATCCCGCTGCCTCACGTTCTGTCGGACGAATACCTGTTGGGCCTGGGTGAAGCCCGCTTCGTCGGCCATGTTACGAGGGAGGAGGATCATGAGTGACAGCGAGTTGGAAGTAAAGACAAAGAAGAGGCCGGAGATGTAGAAACAATCGAGCCAGAAACTATTCCAAGGTCAGCACAAACTGGGAGATACGAAGTGGGAGACATACTGGTTCGAGTTGACGACCTTCCTTTCAGTCCGACCGTCGATAGCGAGAGTGAGGATGGAGATGCAATACAGGAGACGGAACAACGTCCGGACACTGTTGAGTTCCTATCCATCCGTCAGCTTTAATGCGGTGGTCCGACCAATTATCCAAACTCACCTTGAAATACTGCAGCCGTGCAATCACATCCAAAGCGGCCCCCTGACGTCGCTATCCACAACAGTCAACCCGATATCTTTGAGAGAAGTCGCAGAAATACTCACAGACTCTTGAATGAATTTGGGGAACACAAAGAGAAGCCAGATACTCCCAATGAACAGGATGAAAGCCGATATCGACCTTCAAACAAACTTCAGTAAACTCTCCTCGAGACACCACGGAACTTACCCAACGAGAAAGATGTTGTCTTCCATCGTAGTCAGGTTTTGCGTCTCGATGTTTGCCACACCAGGTACGACCCCAGCCACCTACCCACATCAGCTCATCGCTACCTTTCGTTAGGCATTCACTCACAAAGATGCAACAGGCTATCCAGACCTTGAAGTGGACGCTCCTATACCAACTCTTGGTGTTCCTTCCCCTGATCGCACCGATGAGATAAGCCCAGTAAAGCGTCTCTTCCGAGTGGATGGCGAGGACGAGCAGCCACGCAATAGAGAGGATCTGGTAGGCGGAGCGGACGAGGAATTGTCGGGAATCGGACCACTGTAGAAAGTCAAGTCAGACTCGAGGAGATATGAGAGATAGAAGAGGAGGTTGGACGTACGGCGCTGAAGGGGACTGGGATGATATCGCCATTGTGGACCATGTACCATTCTTGGTATTTGACGTAAGTGAGAATGATCCCCCAGGCTTCAAACTGCAACATCGGGTCAGTATGGAGATTAGGTTAGGTTAGCGGGAAGAGGGCTTACCAGGAGCATCGATAAGATGAACATCCACTATGGATCCGTCAGTCAGTTCCCTACTCGACTTCGAGACACTAGACATACCACAATCACTATCAATGTCGGTCAGTATCAATTCCAGGAGACCAAGTCGTTCACTCACACCATCTGAAAGCAGTCCTCTTGGTAAACTTGAGACATTTCCCCTTGTCATACGCCCAGATGTGGTAGATGAAGTAGAAAGTACCGATAGTGGTGACCAGAGTACCAATGAACTGCGATGTCGGAGTTTCGTGGCACATCACAATATCACAATGGCGAGAGTTACAAGACAAAGAGCGTCGAGGACTTAGAGGTTGATGAAGTCAAAAGAGATCTATAAACCAAGTTATGTATCGCCGAGACAAAGATCTAACAGGGGCCGATATTGGAGACCAGGGAATGAAACCAGGAAAAGCAGTGACCAACCTGGCGAAAAGCGTTGTTACGATCAAGGTGCCCTCGACCCTCTCTTTGACCGGAAGAGCGCTTTTCTTATATAAGGCTGCCAAAGCTCCATCTGGCACTCCGCCGGGCAGAGAAAGACATAATATCCAAGGACGAAGTGTTTTTTCCAGTCGAGCTATAAAGTTACTAACGTATACCCACTGCTTGTGAGGGAAAGCGGCAGAGGTGTGCAGGGGAGTGATTGGAAACAAATGCAATCAATCACCGATGACTTTTTGATGGTTGCAGAGGCGGAGAAGCCCGAAAAAGCCGGCTTTTGTCGCTCAGGCTGATGAAGGATACTTTGGCTGATGGCAGCAGCAGTAAATCTCAGGAGTCAAAGACCCCACAGATGAGGGGTCGCCCATGAGGAAGGCCACTGAACAGTTCCTGCGGCGCATCTTGCATTGCTGTAAGTGGGCTTGTCCATTATTAGCCACTTTATCATTACGCTGCGGATTGCCCAGGTCTCTTTCATGCCACGTTTCCCTTTTGATTTCCTGTACATATTACATAAAGTACATATGTCCTGTCTTCCGCTGCCGCTCGGAAAATATATGACACTGTATGTATATACGTACGTATAGCTGTGGGCATGTGACCGGCCCATTGACCGGGCGTCCCTTCACATGCTCTTCCCCTTGTTTCATCTCAAAGGGTTGTCTTTGGTGTTCGGAAGAAGATTAGTGTATCCTGCGCATCTTCGTCGGTTATCGGTCGTCGACCTCACCGGCACCTTAAGAGCACGGACTAATGAGAGATGCGACTGTATCGTATGGGTCAGAATCAAGATGCTTACTGACGTTCATAAACGCCATCATCTGATGGTGGGCTGCAAGATTGAAACCTGCTGACCGAAACTTTGAGGACATGCCGACGGCAAATGCTCGGTTTCCGATGCGAATTTTCAAGAAGATGAAGACCGTGCGCGATGTGAGATTGTGTAGTAAAGGATTTTTGCTGATGGCGTGCACACATTTGGACCCTGTACGCTTTGATCCTTCGGAACGAGGGGGTCATGCAGTCCCGACCTGATCAGAATGGTGATGGTACGCTTAATATTCGTCGGCGAGGATATCTCATGATCCGACAAAGATTACTACGCATGCCGAGCAGAGGATCCAGAGAACACATCATGGCTTAGATATGCTAGCGCTACGACGAGAATCGCTCAACAACACGCCACCAATGGCCTTGATGATGCAACGTATTCTTACGTATACTACGTGGCTATGGTTTCTGACTAAAAGATACCGGAGTAAAAGGCTCGACACCTAGGATTCCCACCCTGGTACTGACCAAGTGATAAGCGTCTTGTCTTCCTTCACGGTGCGACGAGCATGACTGCCAGAGTTGCAAAGAGGACCCGGCACTTTTTTGCTCGAGAGCCAAGCAGGGATCGTCCATGCACTTCCTCCCTGGTGCTAGACAGAGCTGTTCGAATACTTCGATACGATACCCATCGCTGGCCATCGCACCGCTGCATGTATGCCCGACGGCCATACCCCGGCCGATGATAATAAGGGAGATTTGGTTCCACAAAGCTGCCAGCGGCGACCTCCACCTCGCTTGTTTTGGTCCACAGCAGCCAGCAGGTGGTCGAGTGGCCAAGTCGACAGGTAGCCAGGGTGCATCTCATCAACAACAATCCCCAGCGTCTACCATGGGCGCCTCCGTATCCCAATACGCCGACCGCTGGCTTCCCGCCCCTTTGAATGCCTCGCCAACAGCCCCACCGCCTCAGACACTCCCAGCCTCCTCCCCTCTCTCCCAGCCGAAAGGCTTCATGTCGTACTTTATCCCCTCATCGGAGCCCACACATAAACACCGCCACCCCACAGTCCACGATACTCAGCTCATATATGCCTATATTGCCTCCCGACTGCCAGGGGAGCTGGTAGGGCGGGTGATGGACGAAGCCGAGATCTGGCCGGTGTGCTGGAGGGCGCAGCGGGCGAAAATGGTCTGCCCGTCGAGGGTGAAGGGAGGGATCAATATGCTGGACGGTGGCTTGTGGGAGACGGGGCAAGAAGCCGAAGTGGGGGAGGCTGCAGTGGAGAGAGGTCTCAGATGTCGGAATGGGGAAGCTTGGTATCTTGTCTCATCGCCGATTGGGTGTTTCGGGGAGCAGGAAGAAGAGCAGGAAGCGGGGACAGAAGAGCATGAGAGGAGACGGAAAGCTTGGGTAAAGAAGGTTGTCATTGAAACATCCTCCCGGGATCAGGGTTGGTCAGATCACAGACAGCATTATGGTAAGCCGCTTCTCGTCGGGTCATTTGGCAACATGCTGATGATTTGCAGGGACTTATGAAGGTAGTCACTCGTGGTTTGAAATCTCGCTGCTTAGAAATGATCAGGAGGTGCCGGGATCGCGAGCAGAGATACAGTTCAACGTTCATGGTGCGTCTGTCTCGAAATCAACGAGCGCAGCTGATACTTTGAACAGCCGGACAATTCTTCAAGGAGCACACAAATGTCCTTCTACGTGATCACCCGACGTTGAGACTAGCAAAAGACGGGGATAGGGTGGTGCTGTGGGCGAAGGCGTTATACCCGGGCTGGGTGAATGCAGTCAAGTAGGTGCTTCGTCTATGACTGAGGATCAGTAGGCTGACATGCCCCCAGAGAGGCTTCGATCACAGTCTACAGTGCCCCGTTCCCGTACTGATCACGATGGCGTTGAGCATCGCGGGGGGCTTAAGGGCGAGAAGACTTATGTCTTTGCCATGCTTGTACTGTACATATGTAGCGTCAAGATGTAAATTGTAGGCTCCTTTGATATGGAGTGCTGCATATAATCCTCACCCACCTTGGGCACAGGAGACATAAGACGAGCGACGCTAAGCGTGGTAGTGCGGTGCGTGAGAGATTCCCACTTTCAAATACTCCCCGAGTAAGGGAAAGCAAGGGAGTGGCGTGCACTCCTAGATTTGCTGAGCATCAGAGACATCCTTTTGACGAGATATGCTTGGGACAAATGACCCATCAATGACCCCCAACGGTAGTCTCACCGCTTTGCTGCTGTTGATCTCGATCTCACACAAGTCATCTTGGTAGACCACAGAGATAAGCGCTGTTAGAAAAAGCTATGCGTAGGAGCGTAGAGCACAGCAGTACATGATACAGCCCCGGGCTCCAGGCGCAGGAGACCGAGGGTGTGAGAGTCGCTCGAGGGGCAGTACCTCATCCATCCTTTGGCTGTCTCGCGTCTGTAAACCGCTGCAAGAGGGGACCCTTGGCGCGTCATTCTTTCTTTTACACTTCAGCTAGTCCATTTCATTTCGCGAGTTGCCCCCAACGCACCTACCCCCAGGCCCGGCTGACGCATACCCGCCCAACTGCCAGCGACATATAAAAGAGGGGCGAGTTGAGTCAGCGGCAACCCGCGCACCAACCACCTTCACCCTTTTCTGTACAACCAACCCCGTTTGTATCGTATCTTAGCTTTACCATACACCCATTGTTTCTCTTGCACCCCCATTCCAACCCCCATCCTTGTCTCTCCATCAGACCATGGCTCGACCACAGCCCACCGACTCCTACGGCGAGGTGTTTGTCGACTCGGAGCCCAGCGAGCCGGATGACGAAGCCGATGAGGATTACGCCCCCTTTTCAACAGCCAAACTTCAACGATGGTCGAGTAAGCGCCATTCCAAACCTATTGTGAAGGGGAGGAAGAGCGATGGCCAGCGAGTCGCGAGGGAGGAGACTACACGCGAGGTGAGTCAACCACCGTCAACCTCCCGTCACTCGCGACTGACAAACAAACAGCCCAAACACGCCCAGAGGGAGAGATCTGCCTCCGACAATCATCCTTCCATCCCACAAGGCCCGTCCACACTCTACAGTCAGACATACCTTGGATCCATCCTCAGACAGGCCAGCAAAGGAGAGGCTTATCCGCCCCACCCACCCGCCCTCCAGCTGAACGCGGCCAACTATGGTGGCGAGGCGGCTGTGCAGTCAGATATGTATGACTGTCGCCCAAGCCTACAGATCAGCACAACGTGAGTCTTCCTTCTCTCTGGTGATTCAAGCTGACGGACATCAACAGCGAGCCCATCATACGTTCAGCGCCCAGCAGCTCCAAGCCTTCGAGTTCCTCGAACCCTTTACTCAGCAATCAGAGCCTCTATGCCTTGCAAGATGGGCAGTCAGCTCGCGTCCCAGTCCATCATCCGATGGAGACCACCTGGGGGCAAGCATGGCCTCAATTGGGGACCCAGGCGGTCGGTGCGCGCCCGAACCCGCTCAATGTTGATCTTGCTGCCGAGTCTCTAAAGCGACTCACAAGTTTGCCTTCTCGAAGCATGTTTCAGCCCAGTAAGAAGGCCAAGGAAGACACGTCCCCACCTGAAGCCTCTCAAAGCGCAGGGGTGAACCCAAACGATTTGAAGCTCCCTTCGGGATCTTCGCCCCTCGATGGCCCAGGTTCGACTGGCAGTATGGTGGATCACTCTGTCATGTCTGGCTCTCAAGCTAGCGTGGGCTCTGTTTTTTCCAGTCAGCCTCCAGTGTTGGCTGAAGAGGCCTTGCAAAGGCCTCGATTGTCTTTGCCGCTGCTCTCTCGTGACCCTTCGTCGGAGACCACCGTTACGCAGAGCGACGACGACTGTTTCGACATGCAACAGCGCCACCAGCCGTTCGCTTTCTACGACTCTTCTGCATCGTCGCAACAATCCTCTCAGCTACAGCATGCTCTCCTCTCCAAGTCGGTCGACCCGCTCTCTTCTGTCACTTCGACAAACTTTGCTTTCGACTTTCGCCCCTCCACCGCCAACAGCTATACCTCTTTCGGTCCCTCTGAGGCGAGTTCTCTCGCCGGGCCAGAGTACGCTGCCTCTCCCATGGCTAGCATGCCGCCCCACGACGCGACGGGTCAGCACTACAGCCCCTACGGTGTCCTCTCTCAGTCCATGTCTGGGCGCCCGGCAACCTCTCATGGGCCGTATATGATGCCGTCCTTCAGCCACCAGATGAATCACTACGCACCATCATTCGCTGCCCCTCTTCCGTCTTGGATGCAGCCTCGATTGCAGCAACAGGCTCCAAGTCCTCACATGAGCCGCCCTCAGACTTCGCTCCCGCTCTCTAGCACTTTCAGCAGTGCCGACTGGCGCCAACGGCTCGGCAAGAGGCGTTCTCAAACGCTCCCTCCCGAGCCTACCGCCATCCCGGGGTCGGGCACCTACTCGGACATGTATGGAACGCCCTCTATGTTCCAAGCACCCTTCCCAATCGGTGAGAGAAGAATGTCTTATCCCGGATTTGGGGGTGGGGCCAAGTACGGCCAGGGTCTTGGGTGGGCGCCAAATATCATGTCTACGAGCTTCATGTCTTCCGCATTGGCTCCAGCTCAAACGCCCGGCGAGTCTCTCAACTCTGCTTTTGACAACAGATCGCAATCTCTAAGCCAGCAGCAGGCCACGATACTCCACCCCCCACCCTTCGCCTCTCCCTCCCATATCAAGAGGGGTCACCGCCGACCGGTGCCAGGTTCCAATCAGCAGACAGCCTATCCTCCATTTTCCCAGCCCTCTGTCAAGCAGGATCAACCTCGCTCTTTGTCATTCTCGCATCCCAAAATCCCTACATCTGCCCAGCTTGATACGCGACGACGAAGCATGGGCTCGGGCCCAACTCCCAAGAGCGCGCTAGCTCGAGCCGTATTCTTTGATGAGCCCGAGATCACGGAGACTGAGGTGGCGGTCTCAGAGACTGAGGGGGAAGATGACGAGGGCGAGAGCGATCAGAATGACGATGCCGAGTACGAGGAAAAGTCTGGCCATGTCAGTTCTTCGTCTGAAGACGAGCCTCTTCGCCTGTCTTCCCGCACCTCTCGAGCGAGCAAATCCAAGGCAAAGCCCAAGGCCACATATTCCTTTTCCAAGCGCACCCGGTCTTCTAAATCTCGCTCCAAATCCGCCTCTCATGGATCTCGCCCCAAGACTCCGATGGACATGTCGGAAACGCACGGTCAGATGGTGTGCGCTTGCCCGTTGATGCACATGGCTAGGCCTGCGGATGGAGACAATGCAGAGCCTCATTTGTGTACCACGAAAGTGACTGCCAATAGGCTTTTGGTGCAGGGGCACAAGCTGTGTTCCTACTGCGTGAGTGCATCTTGTGTTGATTGTATCAGGGCTAATGGTCAGTAGATAGGGCGCGATGGTCACGTTGAAGAGTATGTCAAGGAACGCACGCGCACCAAGACTGTCGACAGACTTTGCTTCATATACGTCATCTACCGCGAACTCAAGATCGACCAGACCCACGGCGAGGGCCAGCGCTGGCAAAAGTACTGGGAACACCACCGACGCGAGCCAGTGGATGAGGAGTATGGAAAGAAGATGCTGGCGTCGTGGATCGAGAGGATGGAAACGGAGAAGCGCAACTGGGAAAAGCATCAAGAGAGAGCTGCGAAAAGGGAGGCTCAAGCTGTCAAAGCTTCCGAAAGCACTCGAGCTGCCAAGGCCAAGGCGGATGATGAGGACAAGATGGAATCTATGGAGAAGGAGGTCAAGGCGAGGGCAAAGTCGAGGTCGATTGCGTCTTCTCTCGAGCCCGACCCTGCGGATTTTGCGAGCATCCCCGAGCCCAAGTCTGTCTCTGTCAGCGACTCGTCTACCTCCTGCGACGACTGGGCACCCAACCCTTATACCCACTCCTCTACTTCCCTTGCGATTCCCAAGCGACCTATCAAGCGAGGACAAATCAAGTTGGAAGCCCAGCCCCACCGTCCGACACACCGCAGCGTCTCTACGCCCAACCCTGCCATCAAGAATTCCACAACCATGACCAACATCCCCAACTCATCCTCCCCCGACTCTAGGATTTCGGCAAGCCCTTTGAAGGACAAGTTTTGGAGCATGGGCAGCGCTGCGGGCCTTGCGGGTGTTGCGGATGTGGAAAAGTGGGATGGGAGAGTGAGCTTGTCGCTTACGCCGCCTCCAGCGGAAGAGAGGGTGGAGAGCAAGGAAGTGCGGGACTGGGATGTGGATGAGGCTGTCTGGAGGGCGTTATCAAGCTCGCCTGGGGATTAGGATCGCCTTTTCGGATCACCATCATCGCGCTGTGCCTCCTCTACATTGCCTCTTCTCGCCGCATTCGTGTACATCACCATCTCGCCCTCTCAAGTGGAGTCTCGCAGTCACCCCCCGTTTTCTCAATCTATTTTGTGTGTAAGTTCAGAGTTGTAGCTTCTATGTTTATTTCGGTGTATCGCGCGCCGCAGTCATCTGTCAAACTGTTTCTTACTGTCTTTGGCTTCTTCGTTCTATTTTGATACCTTGTTCTTTTCTAAAGTATACCCGGGTCTCGAAAACACGATCGTAACACGATCGTTCCGGTCATACATATCATTCTTCCCACTGCATGAAGCTGGGAGTGACGACGTGATTCAAAATTGTCCCATAACACTTTGCCTCGATGTATTCCCTGTGTATCTACGCGAAGCATCTGATTCCGATGCCCCCGGCTATGTCCGAGGGCCGGCTTATCTCCCGCGAACTGGCCCGATCCAGGCACCCCTCTGCCATTTGTGAGGCCTCCCGTTGGCTGATCTTCTGCGTGTGGGGGCGGGGGGCGCCGCCTGCCACGAGCTGTGTGTATACGGGATGTGGGCCGCCGTTCCATTCCTATCTCTTTCTCTTTTGCTCTTATATCTTCCCAACCGCTCCCCACCGCCACCCCAAATACCCCGCCAGCGCGAGACACCCCTGCACGGCCCCTGCCACAAGAAAATCCCTTATCAGCCAGCTTCCCCGCCCCGACTACTCAATGTGTGGAGTCGGCTTCCTCTGCTCTGTCAAGGGAGAACCAGCCCACAAGATTGTCAGCGATGCCAGACACATTCTCTGTAATATGACCCATCGGGGTGCCAGTAAGTGCTTCTCTCAGCTTGTCATAAGATACGTACTGACTCGCCGTATAGCCGGAGCAGACGCCCGGGATGGCGACGGTGCCGGTGTCATGACGGGCATTCCGCACGACTTTTTCGTCCGCGAAGCCTCCTACTACTTTGAGGCCAAGCTCCCCGCTCCAGGGCACTACGCTGTAGGCAACTTGTTCTTCTGCAAAGACGCGTTCGAGGACCAGAAGGCTATCGTCGAGGAGGTCGCCAAGTCTCTCGGTCTAAGAGTACTCGGCTGGAGAGAAGTGCCTACCGACAATACCATCCTCGGACCAGCGGCAAAGAGCAAGGAGCCCAAGATCCTCCAGCCTTTCGTCGTACTGGAAGACCACTACGGTGCGGGCCAGGACAGTCAAGAGGGAGCGTTCGATGAGCGCAAGTTTGAGAGGCAGCTGTACATTCTCCGAAAGCAAGCTACCCACAAAATGTAAGCTCCCTATCTTCACCTCGTGACGTATGCTCACTCCAAGTAGCCCTCTCAAGGATGGGTTCTATGTCTGCTCCCTCACCACCTCCAACATTGTTTACAAGGGCCAGCTTTCTCCTGTCCAAGTGTACAACTACTACCACGACCTCAACCACGCCCTTTACGCCTCCCACTTTGCCCTCGTCCACTCCCGTTTCTCCACCAACACCTTTCCTTCTTGGGACCGAGCCCAGCCCATGCGATGGGCCGCTCACAATGGTGAAATCAACACTGTGCGAGGCAACAAGAACTGGATGCGCGCGCGCGAGGGCAACCTCAAGTCGGACCGCTTCGGCGACGACCTCGAGCTGCTCTATCCCATCGTCGAGAGCGGCGGTTCCGACTCGGCAGCATTCGACAATGTCCTCGAGCTGCTCGTCGTCAATGGCGTCCTCACTCTTCCCGAGGCTGTCATGATGCTCATCCCCGAGGCTTGGCAAAACAACGACCTCATGGAGCCCGAGAAGAAGGCGTTCTACAGCTGGGCTGGGTCTTTGATGGAACCTTGGGATGGTCCTGCTCTCTTCACCTTTTCCGACGGCAGGTACTGTGGTGCCAACCTCGACCGAAACGGTCTCCGACCTTGCCGATGGGTTCTTACCTCTGACGGTATCATGGTCTGTGCTTCTGAAGTCGGCACCATCTCCATCGAGCCCGAGAAGATTGTCCAGAAGGGCCGTCTCAAGCCTGGTAGGATGCTCTTGGTTGATACCAAGGAAGGCCGTATCGTCGATGACAAGGAGCTCAAGATGAAGACTGCTCGCCGCCAGCCTTTCGCTTCATGGGTCGAGTCTCAAATGCTTCGTCTCCCTGACGTCCTCCGTCGAGTCGAGCGTTTCGAGACTATTGGCGTCCAACTCGACGATTCTCCCCTTTCCACCGACCCCAAGCTTCTCGCTTTTGGCTACACTATCGAGCAGCTCAACATGCTCATGCTGCCCATGGTACAAGAGGGCCACGAAGCTCTCGGGTCTATGGGTAACGACGCTGCTTTGGCGTGCATGTCTACTACCCCTCGAACGGTTTACGACTACTTCCGTCAGCTTTTCGCCCAAGTCACCAACCCTCCCATCGACCCTATCCGAGAAGCCATCGTCATGTCGCTCGAGACCACCGTCGGTAACGAGGGCAACTTGCTCGAGATCAACCCCAAGCAGCTCCACCGTTTGCACCTGAAGAGTCCCGTGTTGACGATTCAAGAGATGAACGCCGTCAAGCATATGAAGGTCGCCAACTCTGGCTGGCCTTCTATCACAATCGACATTACCTTCGATAAGCGCGAGGGTCTCCCAGGTTATAGAAATGCTTTGGAGAGGGTCAGGCAAGAGTCTATCAACGCCGTCAACGCTGGCTTTACCTCCCTCATCCTTTCGGACCGCGCTACCGGTCCCGATAGGGTCCCTCTTTCTGCCATCCTCGCCGTTGGTGGCGTCCACCACTATCTGACCAAGGAGAGGCAAAGGAGCAAGGTGGCTCTGATGGTCGAGACTGGAGAGGCGAGGGAGGTGCATCATATGTGTGTGTTGATTGGATATGGCGCGGATGCGGTTTGCCCGTGGTTGATCATGGAGATGATTCACAAGGTTGACCGAGAAGGATTGTGAGTGTCATGTTGTCTTTGAGGGCTTCACTGACTCGACTACAGGGCGAAAGACTCTCAGACCGCTGAAAAACTCGTTGGCAACTACCAAAAGGCCACCGACGAAGGTATCCTCAAGGTCCTCTCCAAGATGGGTGTTTCGACTCTTGCCTCTTACAAGGGTGCGCAGCTTTTCGAGATCCTTGGTCTTCACGAGGAGATTGTGAGCGAGTGCTTTGTCGGTACTGCTTCGAGGGTGCAGGGCGCGACCTACGAACTGTTGGCTATGGATGCTTTTGAGTTCCACGAGAGGGCGTGGCCCTCGAGGGATGCTATCGTCGTCCCCGGTATGGTGAGTAATCGAGTCTCGTTTGGTGGTCACAGCTAAAAGATGATGTAGCCAGAATCTGGTGAATACCACTACCGACAAGGATCAGACATGCGCGTCAACGACCCTGTCTCTGTCGCTCAACTCCAAGACGCCGTTCGACAGAAGAACCAATCTGCCTACGACACCTACTCCAAGAACTCCCACGAAGCCATCAAGCGAGGCACTCTGCGAGGTCTTCTCGACTTCAAAGTGGAAGATGCGACGCCTGTGCCCATCGAGCAGGTTGAGCCGTGGAATGAGATCGTTCGACGATGTGTCACTGGTGCCATGTCTTATGGGTCTATCTCTATGGAGGCGCATACCACTCTTGCGCTCGCTATGAACAGGCTGGGCGGAAAGTCCAACACTGGTGAAGGTGGTGAAGATGCCGAGCGAAGTCTTCCCATCCCCGGTCCTGGCGCCGACCTCGACGGACAACCTTTCACCCACGCCATGGAGCTCAAGCCCGTGTGGGACTCTCGCAGGTCTGCTATCAAGCAAGTCGCCTCTGGTCGATTCGGTGTGACTTCCAACTATCTCGCCGACTCTGACGAGCTCCAGATCAAGATGGCTCAAGGCGCCAAGCCTGGAGAAGGTGGTGAGCTCCCGGGACACAAGGTTTCTGCTTCCATCGGGCGAACCCGTCATTCGACTGCCGGTGTCACCCTCGTATCTCCTCCTCCCCACCACGATATCTACTCTATCGAGGATTTGAAGCAACTCATCTATGACCTCAAGGCTGCCAACCCTCGAGCGCGTGTGTCTGTCAAGCTCGTCTCCGAGGTCGGAGTTGGTATCGTCGCCAGTGGTGTCGCGAAAGCCAAGGCTGACCATATCACCATCTCTGGTCACGATGGCGGTACTGGTGCTGCCAAGTGGACTTCCATCAAATACGCCGGTCTCCCTTGGGAGCTGGGTCTTGCAGAGACCCATCAGACTTTGGTGATGAACAACTTGCGAGGGCGAGTCACTGTTCAGACCGATGGACAGATCAGGACAGGAAGAGATATCGCTATTGCGACCTTGTTGGGTGCTGAAGAGTGGGGGTTCGCGACTACTCCGTTGATCGCCATGGGTTGTATCATGATGAAGGCTTGTCACAAGTGAGTAGATGGGTGTTTCAAGGGACAATCGCTAATTAGATGTAGGAACACTTGCCCCGTCGGTATCGCCACTCAGGACCCCGCTCTCCGAGCCAAGTTTGCCGGTCAGCCAGAGCAAGTCATCAACTTCTTCTACTATGTCATCGAAGAACTCCGCCAGATCATGGCCAAGCTTGGTTTCAGAACAATCAACGAGATGATTGGCCGAGCGGATATGCTCAAGGTCGACGAGTCTCTCCGTACTCCCAAGACTGCCCATCTCGACTTGTCCCCCATCCTCCAGCCCGCTCATCTTCTCCGAAGCGATGTCGCCACCTACCGAGTCAGGTCTCAGGACCACAAGCTCTACATTCGCCTCGACAACAAGTTTATCGATGAGGCCGAGCCTGCTCTCCAAAAAGGTCTCCCGGTCACGATTGACTGCGATGTTGTCAACACCGATCGAGCTCTTGGTACGACATTGTCTTACCACGTTTCCAAAAAGTACGGAGAAGAGGGTCTTCCTCGGGACACTATTCATATCAACATGAAGGGTTCTGCTGGTCAGTCTCTGGGCGCTTTCATGGCTCCCGGTATCACCGTCGAGCTTGAGGGTGACGCAAATGACTATGTCGGCAAGGGTCTTTCCGGTGGTCGACTCGTAGTCTACCCTCCCAAGGCTTCTCCCTTCAAGGCCGAGGAGAACATTATTATCGGAAACGTCTGCTTCTTTGGTGCTACTTCTGGGCAAGCCTTTGTGCGAGGTATTGCTGCCGAGCGATTCGCCGTTCGAAACTCTGGTGCCACTCTTGTTGTTGAGGGTACTGGCGACCACGGTTGCGAGTACATGACTGGAGGTCGTGTTGTCGTTCTTGGTCTCACTGGCCGAAATTTTGCTGCTGGTATGTCTGGCGGTATCGCCTACGTCCTCGATATGGCGCACAGCTTTGCCCCCAAGGTCAACATGGGCTCGGTCGAACTTGGCCCTGTCAGCGACCCCCATGAGGTTGCTGAGCTTCGAAGCCTCATCGAGGAGCACCGACACTACACTGGCTCCGAGATTGCCGACCGAGTGCTCAAGAACTTCCACCATGTTCTTCCCATGTTTGTGCGAGTCATGCCTCTCGACTACAAGCGCGTTCTCGAACAGGAAGCTGAGCGCGTTGCCAATGAGAAGAAGAGGCAGTCTATTATCGACCTCATTCCTTCTCAAACCGCTTCCCAAGTGGACCTTGTCGCTACCGGTTTCGACCCTGTCCTCCCCCGCGACGCCAATGCCCTCACCATATCCACCCCTAACCTTCTTTCACCCATTGGTTCTCCCAAGGCTAAACCTCAGGAGCCCTCGATAGTCGACGTCGAAGATGCTATGATCGACGAGACCGCTACCAAGGAGAAGCTCGCGAAGGTTGACAAGGTCCGAGGCTTTATGAAGTACAAGCGTCTTAATGAAGCCTACCGACCTCCTCGTAAGAGGGTCAAGGACTGGAAGGAGATCTCTGCCCGACTCAAGCCCCAAGAGCTCAAGGTCCAGTCGGCGCGTTGTATGGACTGCGGTATTCCCTTCTGTCAGTCTGACACTGGCTGTCCCATCGCCAACGTCATTCCCAAGTGGAACACCATGATCTTCGAAGACAGATGGCAGGATGCTCTCAACAGGCTGCTCAAGACCAACAACTTCCCCGAGTTTACCGGTCGAGTCTGCCCTGCTCCTTGCGAAAGCGCTTGTGTATTGGGTATCAATGAAGCACCGGTCGGCATCAAGTCCATTGAGTGCGCTATCATTGACAAGGGTTTCGAACTGGGTTGGATGACTCCCAACCCTCCCGAGCACAGAACTGGCAAGCGTGTTGCGATCATCGGTTCCGGACCGGCTGGCCTTACCGCTGCCGACCAGCTCAACAAGGCGGGACATATCATCACTGTCTACGAAAGGCAGGATCGTGTGGGTGGTCTTCTCATGTACGGTATCCCCAACATGAAGCTCGACAAGGGTGTTGTCCAACGTCGTGTCGATTTGATGGCGGCTGAAGGTGTCAACTTTATCACCAGCGCTCATGTTGGCGTTGACGAGCGATACGACCCCCTTGCTATCAAGGCAGAGAATGATGCCGTTGTTGTTGCTACTGGTGCCACATGGCCTCGAGACCTCAAACTCCCCCACCGAGAAGTCGACGGCATTCACTTTGCAATGGACTTCCTTACTCCCAATACCAAGGTCAAGGCTTTCGGTGATGATGCTCCTGGCTTCATCTCTGCCGAGGGCAAGGATGTCATTGTAATCGGTGGTGGTGACACCGGTGAGTCTAGTCATCGAGTCTGAAAGGTCACGCTGACATTTGCATAGGTAATGACTGTATTGGAACTTCCATGCGACACGGTGCCAAGTCCATCGTCAACTTTGAGCTCCTCCCCGAGCCTCCCAAGTCTCGTGCTCCCGACAACCCTTGGCCGATGTTCAACCGCTCTTTCCGAACCGACTACGGTCATTCCGAGGTCCAGGCTCACTTCGGTCACGACCCTCGCAGATACTGCATGGCCACCAAGAAGTTTGTGCTGGATGATGAAGGCAAGTTGAAGGGTCTCGACACGGTCAAGGTCGAGTGGACAAAGATGAACGGACAATGGAAGATGGAGGAGGTTGCTGGGTCCGAAGAGGTGAGGAACATCTTCGTGGAAGCGAGAATAGTGCTGACTCCCTCCAGTTCTATCCAGCCCAGCTCGTTCTGCTTGCTCTTGGTTTCCTTGGGCCTCAGCAAGAGTGCCTCAAGGCTCTTGGTGTCGACACTGACCCTCGAACCAATATCAAGACCGCTCCCAACAGTTACGTCACCAACGTCCCTGGCGTCTTTGCTGCTGGTGATTGTCACCGTGGTCAATCTCTTGTTGTCTGGGGTATCCGCGAGGGTCGACAAGCCGCTGCGGACGTCGACTCGTTCCTCATGGGCCACACCCATCTCGCCTGGCAAGGAGGTATCGAAAAGAGGCAGTACGTCGTGCCGCCCGTGACCAAACCTCTGCACGGTCTCGATGAGAAGATCATTTCCGACTTTGAGACGAGTTCGCAAGGAGTGGATCTGGAGAGTCTTTCGGTGGCTGCTACTGCCTGAGCTGTGCTCGTACAGGGCGAAGGGGGACGTTGAAAAGTCAAAAGGCTAGTCGACATGTGAAAGGCAAGAATGAGATGCTGGAGTCAGAGGACGGGGGCTGCATCGCCGGTCTCATTCGATACTCTATCGCGTCCTTTCCCTCGATCTTATCACATGGGATTGTAGCCATTATTAGGAAGGTTTCGAGGTGCTATCATTATTCTGCTGTAGTGTTGAGTTGTCTATATAGGTTGTGAATTTATGCAAGTTGTCCCAATACTTATGATCGGGAAGGCAAGTGTACATATATTGAGTCCACACAAACGGCACATCAAGAGCTAGATAGACGAAGAGAAGCGTCGGTCAATAGTCAAGACTCCGTCACAGAACGAACTCTGTCGGGTTCTCAAGAATGAAGTTCATACCCTCTTCTCGGAAATCATCTTTGAAAGCGGTCGTGTAATCGTGTTGTCGGCGATGAGGCGGAGGATATGCTTGTCATTCACATTGTGGGCACACCAGTAGGTAGCGTCGGACGACGAGCTATCAGTCAATCCGTTTGGATCGGAGTCATAGGCGGAGTTGAGCCTACACGCGTATGAGGTTGAGATTCTCGTTGTTGAGATAGAAAACGCTCACCAGTAGTCCATGATCTGTTCGGAAAGACTAGTATCGGCCCCCGTGTACTTTGGTGCGAACCCAGCCAGAGGGAGACCCATCTCGGGCTTGGCAGTGCCATAGACGTATGCGATCTCAGCCGTGTGATGTACTACATATCAAGCTCATCAGAATGTACTTATACGCGTCAAGGTACGTTGACAGATCTCACCTCCGGTATAAGCAGGCATATCTTTGATCGGCTGTTCGAACTGATATGTCCATGTCTTTGCGTTCCCGTGAGAGTTTGCTTGACGAAGGAAGTGTCGACGTTGAGCTTGGAAGAGGGCGTCTCCGAGTATGGCAGCAAACTGCTTCAAGGAAGGGTCAAGGCCGAATGTCTCGTTGCCAGTGTCGAATGGTCTTAGTATCTCGGTCAGCAGCTGTGGCGAAAGACGTGAAGAGACGTACGAGCCAAGGGCTGGGTCGTTGGGATAGTAGTCTTGTGTGAGTTTCTTGAGAGTCTGAGGGCTGAGATCAGCTGGGTAGAAGGACTTGAAGAGTACTTCGCCGAACGCCTCGCCCGAAACCGACGTTGGGATGAACTCAGTGGCTCTGCGATTACATGAGCATGATACAACGGGGTCACAAGGGGAGGCTTAAAGATATTCACTCGTCTTTATTGCATCCAGTGATGAATGGCTTGTCCGCAACCTGGCCATGCCTGAGAAGCTCATGCGGAGAATCAGGGATCAAATCCCCATCGACGGATGGCCCATAGATGCCGCCTGCCCGAAATTGGCTCTGGTTCTTGAGGCTGATCTGAGCTGCAGGAAGCTCTTCACCGGAGAGATTTCGAAGGCATTCGAAAGGGGAGGATCCGTTGCTGTTGGAGCAGTTGGAAGCGAGGAGGAGAGGTGGAGTTGCTCGGGCCAAGCGGCTGGGTGGATTGAGCGCCGCTTTCCATGATTTTATATATCATCTTAGCGAAATAACATGGACACATCTTGTACAGCTTACTCACGGCTTGCTTAAACAGCAAGTCCGTCGAGGGGTCGAGTAACAGAAGGGAAGTGGCAATAGCACCGGCCGATTCGCTATATACCGTGACCTGTCGTTGTTTGTCACTCCAGGGATGACTCTCATCGACTGCGTACCTGTTCAGGATCACCTCCAAAGGCTTCGATATACTCCTCCACCCAAAGAAGAAACTTTTTGATGTCCTGGAGACCCAGACTGGTAGCATTTTGCTCCGCAAAACCAGAGCCCATGCCCCATCCAAAGACACCGAGACGATAGTCCAGAGCGACGTGAATGATGGGTTTGTTCTGCATTTGGCATGTCACCTTACCCATGATCTGTATTGGAAGTAGTAGGGTGGGCTTACGACTTCTTGGCTATACGCAATGAAGCTCGCTCCATTGTAGAGGAAGACAGACCCGGCAGTGAGAGAACCTCCATGCCTATCATGCCGTCAGCATTAGTACAGTAGTACGAACAATTGAATGACGCTCCGTTAACTTACATCCAGACCATAAGAGGTAGCTTGGCCTCTGAGATGATCTTCGCAGGTGCAAAAAAGACATTGAGGAACAGACAGTCTTCCGAGGAACCAGGCCCGCAATCCAATCCTCCAGTCATCTGGTCATCTTGCAGACATTTGGAAGGCTGAGTCTGAGCGGTGTAGGAGCTATCGTTGTAGACATAGGTTTCGGGACGAGAAAATCCGGCTGCTGATTGTCAGCGCTATCTCGGTGCTGAAGTCAAAGGCCCGACTTACAAGCCTTGGCATAGGGGATCCCCGAGTACGATATCGGACCTGTACTTGTTATCGGTAAAGCCCACGATCTCCATGGAATGGCCACCTGATCTGTCGGGATGGATGGTAGTAATAGGAGATATGACTTCAGATGACGAGGACGGTAATTTTCCCCCAGGCAGAACGGGAGAGGCGAATGTGGGTGAGTGGTAATAGAAGAGCACAGGTGGCCAGTACGATGTATATGAATTGGCACATTATGGTCGATTATGCCGGAGTACATAGCAACGGAATGGGATGTCTGCATGGCATATAAGTCTCAGTGTCTCAAGAGTAAGGAAATCGAAGAGACATCAAAGAAACGTCCGCGACTTGGTTACCCGGGCCAGGGAAGACTGAAGGGGTAGATGCTTCAATTGCATGGCGCAGACCGCGGCGCACACTACGGGCCGCGCGGAAGGTTATTTGACGGACGTCACCCAAATGCACGGTTATTCTTACCCACATGGGTTATTTTCAACTATTTGAAAGGTTATCGGTTATACAGTTTAACCCAACCAACCTCTCGCACTATGGATCACCCAACAATTGGATGATTCCGTCACCCTTTAGAGGGGTAATCTGATCTCGACCCACGCGAGCTTGATGCGTGGGGATTTTTGCATACATAGACATGTCTTACTACATAAACTACATGATACATTCATATATACAGCTTGTAACGTAGGTCATGGACCCGTGTGACACAGCTATAGTCAGCCATAATCACATGACAATATCCACTCTGCTGGCTTCAGTGCCCCTGTCAATGATATAAGTCCTCCTGGGCTTCCGCAAAATCTTCACCCTCCCCACCAGCTCGTTGACAGATCCAAGATCCACAAGCTCTCCGGCAGCAAAACCCTCATACCAGTACCATTGCCTAGTACCGATCTTTTGCTTTGTGGTGGCAGCTCGCCTGAGGTGAGCCAGAATAAAAGTTTTAGGGGGGCCGTCCTGGGGAGTCGAGGGATGTGATGGGAGCTCAACGGTTATGTCGTTTAAGACTTGGCCAAAGCAAAGGGTTTTTTGCTGAAGATTGACAGGCCGATTTCGTGCTCGTCTATTCACATCCTCAGTGACATAATACTATCATCAACAGGGGGTCAGCAAGCTCTCATACTCGGTAACAGAGGAGGTGTTGGTTACTGATACAAAAGAAGCGCTCCTACTGTCCTCCTCCTTCAAGTCGATACTCTCCGAGCGGATGGTATCGCCGTGAATGAAAGAGCAATGTCGCGATCATCAGAGAAGTATTTGACGCCC